ATCGTTCTTCAACATGCAGATTCAATAATGATGACTTCAATAATTATTTAATGTAGGCATAATGATTATTTCTGAAAGTTGAAGGCTCGACGTTCTGCTTCGATAGACTTGAATCGTATGAAATTTGAACCATCCTGTTTTATAACGCGTACCTTTTTATATAGCAAAATAAATATAATTTTACGAAGTAATTTCATCTAAAAGTTTCGTATGTCGTATCACATTATTCATAATCTATTAGTAAAATTTGCATGGATGCATCAGCTAACTTAACTATTTTTATCGGTACATACAGTTATTGTCACACTTCTAAACATTATTTCGATAAATTATCGTATTGAGCAAAGTAGTTTCGACTTATAAATTGTGTTCTTGTTGCATAAGACTTCTTACAAAAAAAGTAGTATAAAAGTACCCTATTGTAGTCTAATCGATTTATTAGAACTATTCATGATCAATATTTACATTTGTTACTGTAACTTTCCTACATAAACTAATGTAAACGTAGGATAAAAAATGAAATCCGTGATTCTTCTCAATAAAATTACAGTCACCATAAATTTTAAGATTTCAAATCGTTGACAATGTTCACCGAAAACTTTATCGCACAAATCAGTCATTTATGAAATATTCTATTTAACATATGAGCTCTCTATATAGTATAGTGGATGAGAGACTTGCAAAAGATTATTCTATTAATAGGGAAAAAAGCTCCCATTTACTTCACGCGATAGAATCGAGCACATCATTAATAGGCAATCTAAAGGCTCGATATAGACTTTCGATGAGTAAGTATTGTATTTATGAAAATAAAAATTACATAATATACAATTTATATGTGTAATAATAATAATATTAACAGGAAATTATTTTCTATATAATAAATGGCGCATTTACTTATGTATTTATTTGAATATGAAATCGTCATTGAATGACTTGTCTGAATCGCTGAAGCATGCATTGTCAGCAAGAAAAAAACGTCGCACATATTAATATTCATTATTCATTGCACAACAAGTATATCGCTACTATTGGTTGTAATTGTTTTACACATCATGAATCTATATGGTTGACTTCGTTTTTGAATACGAATTTTATTTAACATACGTATTTCTGTAAAAAAAATGCAATCATCTATTAGCGAATATTGTGCAACAATTTATAATCAAAGACAAACAATCACATCTGAACAAGTTAAGCCAATATTTGATTCTATTGTTGATGAACTAAATGATGAGAATTATCATCCAACTACTGATGATTATTGTAAAATAATTGATACATTAAAACCGATTTCCTGTTTCATATTACTCGACCAATCAATTGCTAATAATGAAATTTTTCATTTGATACGCAATCGTCTAAGTAATATATTAAATCAATGGTCTCAAGATGACACTAGTTTAACTGATCGAGATGAGTGTTTATTTCGAGAAATAGTTGATTTTTTTAGGACAATGATAAAACATTTGAGAACTACAAATCAAGTTTCATCATCAAATTTTAAAACATGGTTTTTAAATGAATCTTTTTTCAAAACAATAACTACGACATTAGAGGACATACCTCTACATTCCTCTAAATATTTAAATCAAGATCAAAATATGACAAGTTTCATGAAACTAATAGAATCAATTCAATTTTTTCAAGCCGGTAATGATCATATTAGAAATAATCCAAATATATTACTGTTACTTAATTCCATAACAAAATGTCTTTGTTCTTCAACTTATATTGAAACATTAAAAAATATCGATATTAAATCAGAAAAACGCAATGAATTTGAAAATTTTATTCTCGGAAGGTGTCCTAGTTTTTGTGCTTGGTTTAGAGGAAAATTTCAAATAACAATGATCGATGGATTATGTCTAAATAATATGTTAAAATCTTATCAAGAAATCTATGATTTATTTTTACCATCAATAAATGATTGGGAATATGCTTTAATGGAATCAATTTATTGCATGACAGCATTATTACGTTATGTTGCTTTTTATCCTTCAACCCGAAAATATTTGAAAGCAAATTTAAAAATTATTGATTCAATGTTAATTATATTAAATTCAAATTGTTTACTTGATAATATATTAAAAACAATTGATTATAATTCCAAAACAAATCTAACTGATTCAGCTATTTCATTTATATTTAATTTAATCAATGATTTCAATATGTTAACAATAATTAAAGAAAATTCATTTTTTTCTAAAGAAATCTTTCTTGGATTAAAAAATGCTCAAGTTGATCGAGTTAAATTACATGCTTTGATGATTTTATCTAAAATACTTAATGAACAGGATATTGCCAATTTAGATGATATTGAAGAATTAACATCGGTTTTTATGGAGTATTTATCGAAAGCTATGAATGATTCATGTTGTAGTTTTCAAGATGTTCCCGTTGAAAGTTTATTGATATGTTTAAAAGGTATTTTACTGTTCTTAATACGAATCATCGATAATTTATAAGCCTTGATTATCGAAAAGACAACATTAATAATTTTTTGTCATGGGAAAAATATGCTATTTTTCGCATTCAGATTAATTACAATATAAGATGGTAGAGGATCATTAAAAGAAGATCAGCCTGTTCAATATTTCAGCACTTGTATAACTTCCTCTTTAGTATTAATCTGCTTTAATTGGTTTCTACAAGTGTTAATTTGTATTGCGTTCGTTAAAACTAAAAATAAACAGCTGTCGATGAAATTTCCTGTGGGGAAGTTCTCATGACTATCCCAAGGTACTTTGCATTTAAATTAATTAATGAAAAGCTATTAATATTCTTTAGAGCTTTATTGAAGAAAACCCTACGAAATTCAGTAGAGAAAAAGTTGATTACAGTGCTCAGTTTTCATAAACTGCAAAATTAGATTTATAGTAGAAAGATAAATACATCTATTAACGTGCTTGATAATATCAAATCAATGTCTAAAACGTAGTATCTTTCGCTTAAACTATCTCTATAGTTAATTAATGTAGGCACCGAAATTTTTCAATTAGTTTTGTACAAAGTAAACTTCGATTTTCCTCTTTGATGTAATAGATTTTTTTTTTATAAATTTAGCATTTATTCAACACGATGAAATAAAAGAAGAAATAGCAAAACAAAATTATTTTAGTTTATTAATAAGATGTGTCACACAAAACAATCTTCATGTTGGCTTAGTTTTACAAATTTCATTGGAAATCATCTGGTCATTAACATTTAATAATCGAATTCGTGAAATGTTAATCAATAATTATGAGCCTTTTTTTGTTTATTTAAAAGAAATTCTTGTTAATTCAACCGAAGAAGGCGTTCAAGCAGCTGCCAAAGGAATTCTATGGAAATTAGCCAATGATTCTAGTCCAAGAAAAAGTATTGGTGATATAGATGAAAATAATACATCTGGTAAAAAATATGATATTATGATAAGTTATAGTCATTCAAACAAAGATGTATGCCATCAAATCTATCAGAATTTAATCAATTTGAAATATAATGTTTGGCTTGATTTTAAAAATATGCAAGAAAATACACTTGAATCGATGGCGAACGCCATTGAATCATCAGAAATTATTCTTGTTTGTATGTCAAATCCGTATAAAGAAAGTCCCTATTGTCAATCAGAAGCTCAATATGCATATACAAGTCATCGTCATATTATTCCATTGGTTGTGGAAAATAAATATCGACCTGATGGATGGTTAGGATTTATTTGTGCTTCGAAAGTCTATGTTGATTTTACTAAAACTGATTTTGAACAAGCATTTCAAAAATTAATATCACAAATTCAACATCATCGACAAAAGAACACTATAATCTCGCCGCCTTCAGCAATGAATCATGAAATGAAAGAACCAGTTAGTCATGACGAGGGTACAACATCAACTATTGAGGTCCAACCAATTACTAGTGAACAACATACTCGGATCGAAGAACAAGTAAAAGAGCTTTACTGTACATCGATACCAATCTATATAGCAGTTTAGTTTCTAGTGGTCTAAAATCGGTATCAGTCCTATATCAGTAAGATCAGAGAAAGAGTCATAAAGCTCTGTTCTAAACATAAATTTCCGGCAGCAAGTATTGAAACGCATCAAAAACTTGATTTAAGAACGAAATGCTAAATAAAAAACAATGTGTTCGATCTAGAAAATAAAACTTCAGGCTAACTTCGATTTTTCGAATGAAAATGCATTTTTTTCACAAGGGCATGGAACAATGATGATCATGTACGAATCTTTTCGAGCAGTCATTCAATTCCGCAATGTTGAACATTCCGGAACCAGTCCCGCCCCCGGAATCAGTTCCGTCGATTCCGGAATTAGGTCAAATATGAACACCGTCCGATTCCGGAATTAGGTCAAATATGAACACCGTCCGATTCCGGAATTAGGTCAAATATGAACACCGTCCGATTCCGGAATTAGTTCCTCCAATTCCGGAACTGCTTCGCCCGATTCTGGAATTAGTTCGTCCGATTCCCGGAATTCCACGGAATTCAGTCCAATTCCGGAATCAGGTCAATACGGAATCGGTGGGAATTAGACGGAAACCCGAGCTATCAGATGTATCAAGTGTCCATTGATCACTCAATTCCGGAATCGCTGGGAATTAGACGGAATTCCGTGTAATTCCGGAATTGAATCGGAATTGATAAACGGAATTCCGGGAATTAGATGGAATTGGTCGGCAGTGATTCCCGGAATTCCGGAATTGAATCGAAATGGATAAACGGAATTCCGGGAATTAGTTGGAATTGGTCGGCAGTGATTCCCGGAATTCCGGAATTCTGTTGGAAGTGATAAATGGAATTTCGGGAATTAGATGGAATCGGTTCCATGAGTGGTACTGGTTCCGGAATGTTCAACATTGCGGAATAGGATGTATTCTCATCTTTTCTTTGCTAATATAGTTCAATCTATAGAATCTCGAATTGGCCAAGGGTTTAGAAGATGAACATAGATCGTTTTTGAATGTATTTATATTCATAGGAAAACGTTTCAAGCGATGAAAACAATTATAATTGCCGGTATATGGAATGGTGGACGCATGAAGATATCTTAAATTTTCTTCATGATAAAAAATTAGAAATTATAAAACTTCTATTTGAAAATGAGCAACAATTCGATGGTCGTTCATTGTACGCATTGTATGAACGATGCCAATCAAATGTTGAATCAAATTATCAATTATTAAATTCACAATTAAATTACAATCATAATGATAATTTGCCATATGTTACTTACATTCGTTTCATCAGTGAAGTACGAAAACAATTGAATCCAATTGATATAAAATGTACCATACGTTATTTTTTTTGGTACATATTGAAAAACATTCATCAAAAGTTTTTTTCACACATCGAATAATTTCTTTCATTTACAAAATGTTATCAATTGTTATAAAGGTCATCGTCATTTATGATAAATTTCCTAAAATGATTTCTTTTTCTTTTTAATCATATCGTAAATTTTTCTTGGAGAATATAATGAATAATTTTCTACGAGTTAAATAGTAGTAACATTATCGCAGCAAAATACATAGCTGTAAAATTCACTCTATACGTGGCCTTATCATTGTTATCTGGCAAACTCTTAAGAAAAGAAAAACTAATATTTAGTTTCAGGAATACGCATTCAAACATTAGCCTCTTTCCGGTGGGAATGTTCAGGAAAATGATGGCATGCGCTTATTTGCTACATTCACCTGGATAAGATATACAAAACAGAAAACTAAAAGCAAATTGGAAGTTTACTTCCTAAGTTTGCTTTCATACGAAAATAAATGAAAAGAAAAACAATTACAGGAGGTGTGCAAATCATTTTCCGACTCACAGTAGAGGTGCACTGTTAACGGTGGATGATACTGTTCGTGATATATATATATATATATATGCACCTGTATATGTTCTTTGGTCTTGTGTGTCCGTCGTGTTCGTTCTTTGTTTCACTTCTCACACAAGGTCAAACAAACATATTTTGATCTAGATATATACATATAAAATGTATATGTATATGTTGTAGTGGAAATTAAAATTCAGTAGAATTTAAAATCCTACTAGTAGAAATTGAAATTTTAGTTTCTACTATAGGTAAAATTCAGTAGAATTTCAATTTCTACTAGTAGAATTTTAAATTCTACTGAATTTTAATTTCTACTGCGACATATATATTGTTCTCAGGGCAGTTTTGTTTTCTTCATCTTATGATATAGTTTGTTTCTGTTGACATTGTTCGTTCCTGTGTTTTCTCATTTCCAATAAAACACCGAACTCAGCAACAACAACGAAACTTACATTGGTGACGAGAGCGTTTCTTCAACTTCGTTCATTAATTGTATTCAACACTAAAGTGTTTCTTCTTCAAATTCATTCATTAATCGAATTCAACACTAGTGTTTCGTTTTCAAAATTCTTCACCTAAATTCTTTAATTATATTCGTAATATATAATTATTATACATGGCTAAATCAATGACAAGTTCTACATTTCAAACGCCAATGATTTCTTCCATTCCTGCTCTTCATGCATTCGATTTTCAAACTAGTGCTTGGCAATCGTATCGTGATCGAATTAATTTCTATTTCAAAGCAAATCGTCTTGATACTGATTATGATAAAAAAAAAGCATTATTCTTATGGCCTGTTGGCGATACAACATATAATTTACTTGAATTATTAATATCACCATGTTCATTAACGGATGATGATACAAAATTTGCTGATTTAATTAAATTATTAGACATTCATTATGATGCTACAAAAAATATCCTGATACCCACGTATGATTTTTATTCTTGTTATCAAAAAACAGGTCAATCATTTGCTGAATGGAACGCTGAATTGTGTGATAAACTTCGACATTATGTGCATTTACCACATCTTGTTTAAAAACTAAACCACAAGATCGTGCACTTCGTGATATGTATGTTATTGGAATTAAAAATCCAAAAATTCGACAAGCATTGTTAAAAGAACAAGATCCTGATTTAGCTACAACTGAAAAGATAATTCAATTAGCTGAACGTTTACAGGAAGATGTTCGTCACTTTGGTAATCCAGTTACTCATACAGATTTTACCGTGGCAAAGCTACATAAACACCAATCAAAACCATACAAACAGCAACATAATTTATATAAAAAAGAATCGTATCAATCATGTGGAACATATGGTTCAAATAATCATCTTCGTTCACAATGCAAATACCGTGAGTTTATATGTAATTTTTGCAAACGTTCTGGTTATTTAGAAAAAGTATGCCGGCAAAAGAAACAAAACATTTCTTCTACGAAGTATATTACAACTATTTACAAATTAAAATCTTCGAAGAAATCGAAACAATCAACCGAATATTCACCGACAATTCTATTAAAAGTCAATGGTAATGATTTTAAATATTGAACTTGATACCGGCACGTTCAACACAATCATTAGTATGGATGATTGGCATAATATAGGATCACCTGCGCTTCATTCATCTTCATTAAAATTACAATGTTATAATGGAAATTTACTTAATGTTAAAGGTGAATGTCATGTTCATATTCAATACAAAGATAAACATTATGATTTGCCATTGATTGTTATTAATGGTTCTAGTTCACCTCTTCTTGGCATTCAATGGATTAAAATGATGTTACTCAATTTAAATGATATCGTTCATGGACAAAATCCTGCTCAATCTTACGTTCACAAGATTTATGATGCTGCAGCACTTAATACAACATTACAAAAATATAAACAATTATTGAATAAAGAACTTGGCCATTGCACTAAAGTTCAAGCTCATATCCAACTTAAACTTGATGCGATACCAAAATTTTTTAAACCACGTCCAATTCCATTTGCATATTTAGAATGTGTTAAAGAAGAAATTCAACGAAACGTTGAAGCTGGTATACTTGAACGCATTGATACTTCTCCTTGGCCAGCACCAATAGTACCTGTTAAAAAACTAAATGGTAAAGTTGGAACTTGTGGTGATTTTAAAGTAACAATTAATCATCAAATGTTAATTGATCAACATCCGATTCCATCGATCGATGAACTTCTTGTTCGACTTAATAATGGACAAAAATTTACGAAACTTGATTTGTCCGATGCTTATCTTCAAGTCGATTAAGATGAACAAAGTAAAAAATTAGTTGTTATCAATACACCATTAGGTTTATTTCGGTACAATCGTATGCCATTCGGTATTTCAAATGCACCAGCAATTTTTCAAAGAATTATTGATCAAGTAATTGGTGGTATTCCAAATTCAATTGCTTATCTTGATGATATACTAATAACTGGTGCAAATGAAGAAGAACATTTGCAAACACTTGATATGGTTCTATCAAAACTTTTAGAATTTGGATTTAGGTGTAATCCAGAAAAATGCTTATTCTTTCAAGATGAAGTTTCATATCTTGGATTTATTATTGATCGACATGGAAAACGTCCGGATCCAGGACGTGTCGAAGCTATAATTAAAATGCCTGCACCAAAGAATGTTAAAGAACTTGAAGCCTTCATAGGTAAAGTTAATTATTATGGCCAATTCATTTCAAATTTTTCAGATAAATGTAAATCATTGAATCATTTACGTAAACAAAATACTCGTTGGGAATGGAGCCAAGAATATCAGAAATCATTTGAACGTCTTTTACAAGACATATCCAATACTACTACCCTCGTACATTTCGATGCTCATTTACCACTTATATTAGAAACTGATGCTTCACATTATGGTATTGGAGCAGTACTTTTACATCGTTATCCTGATGGTTCAGAACGACCAATATCACACGCTTCTAAAACCTTAACTACAGCCGAACGAAATTATAGTCAAATCGAAAAAGAAGCATTTTCAATTATTTTTGGTATTAAAAAATTTCATCAATATTTAGCTGGTCGATCATTTGAACTTAATACTGATCATAAACCTTTATTGGCTATTTTCAATCCATCTAAAGGTATTCCAGTTACAGCAGCTAATAAGATACAACGATGGGCATTATATCTCATGGGATATAATTATAATATTCGTTTTAAACCAACAAGATCACATGCCAATGCAGATGCATTATCCAGATTACCAATACCTGATGATAATTCATTTATTGACAATGATTCTCTTCAAGTTAATTTAATTCAAACACAACTTATTGATCAATGGCCATTGAAACCGAATGAAATAGCATTAGCAACTGCCAAGAATGATATACTTAATCGGGTAAAAAACTTTGTCCTCACTAGATGGCCTTTATCATTTTCTAGATCCCAAAATCGTGAATTAATTCCATATTTCAATAATCGTGATTCATTATCAGTAGTTAATGATTGCATTTTAAAAGATACTCGAGTGATTATTCCACAACAATTACATCATCGAGTAGTTCATATGTTACATCGTGGTCATCTTGGTATAATCAAAATGAAACACTTGGCCAGAACACATTGTTGGTGGCCTAATATGGATAAAGATATAATTGATATGATAAAATCTTGTCATATATGTGATAAATTACAACCATTACCAAAACCACAATTTAAATCATGGGATGAACCACGTCAAGTATGGTCTCGTTTACATATGGATTTTGCTGGGCCATTCTGGAATTCAAAATGGTTGCTAATAGTCGATGCCAAATCAAAATTTCCAATAGTTATTGATATGGGAAATGATACAACATCAAAACATCTTTGTGATGTTCTTGAGCATGTTATTGATTGGTTTGGTCCTCCTGAAAAATTAGCTATAGACAATGGCCCTCCATTCAACAGTTATGAAATGAAAAACTTTTATGATATATATGCAATTACACATATTACAACAGCTCCTTATCATCCCGCTAGTAATGGATTAGCAGAACGGTTTGTCCGTTCTTTTAAAGAAGGAATGTTAAAACAACAGCAAACAGATCAAACGAATAAAGTTATTGCATTAAGAAATGTATTAAGAAGCTATCGATGGCCTCTACACACTTCAACTGGTGTTCCTCCTGCACACATGATGTTTAATTCTCCAATTAGAACTCAATTAGAGAGGATGAAACCTGCTGAACCAGTTAAACAACAACAGCAACCAAAGTATGCTGTCGGAAAATTAGTTTGGACATTACAACATCAACTAAATCATCGATCGCAATGGCAACAAGCTATAATCACTAGGAATATTAGTTCGATGGTATATGAAATTCAATTATCTGATGGTCAACATCAAAAACGTCATCAAAATCAGATTCATCTTCGTCATTCTTCAAATAATTCATCCAATGAAGTTGATAGTCTACCCGATGAATTATCACATGCTAAAACAAAATCGAATCCTCTTGAAATTTCGCCACCATCGTCGCCACGTTTTCCTCATCGACATCGTCGTCCACCTGATCGTTATGCTCCTTCGTAATAATCTTAAGGGGAAAGGTGTTCGTGATATATATATATATATATATATATATATATATTTTTTTTGACCAAAAGTGTTTTCTAGTCGAGATCAGCCTTTTGAACGAAAAAAAATCGAAAAAAAAAACTTTTCCAAAAAAGTGGATGGCTCTCCATGGATTCACCCATATATATACACCTGTATATGTTCTTTCGTCTTGTGTGTCCGTCGTGTTCGTTCCTTGTTTCACTTCTCACACAAGGTCAAACAAACATATTTTGATCTAGATATATGCATATAAAATGTATATGTATATATTGTTCTCAGGGCAGTTTTGTTTTCTTCATCTTATGATATAGTTTGTTTCTGTTGACATTGTTCGTTCCTGTGTTTTCTGATTTCCAATAAAATACCGAACTCAGCAACAACAACGAAACTTACAGATACCACTGGCCCCTCGATTACATTTCTCCAATATTTTATGTATCTCTCCTTTTTCTCTCCCTCTCTTCTCTTTCTTCTCTCTCTCTATATATATAGATGCGTGTGTGTTAAGCAAAGAGATATAAATAAACGTAAAGCTCGGACACGACGAGCTAACATGCACGCACACCAAAATTCGAGCAAAACTTTTTAATTGCTTGTTTCGTGTCATTGGATAGAGAATTTTGCGGCGATCACGAATATGTATTTCTTAATTTTTTTTGATGCCCGGTTAGACTAAAAACACTTCAAAAATTCGCAGGTTTGTCAAAATCCTTTTTTTCAGTATTTTTTGAAAATTTCGGTACTCAGGATCTTCCGTTGATTGATTTGGTTTCCAAAAGATAAATTCTTCTTCAGCTTGAAAGGCTGAATCACAATATACCTTCCATGTCTTTTTTAGCCTTACTGTTTGCCCGCCAAGGTCACCAGAAGGTGTGTGTGTGGGTTTGGATAAAGCTGAGAGAATGAACAAGACCCCCACGCCAACATTAATATTAATACACATACCTTCATCCACACCCATACTCACACCTTTAGCCACACCTGAGACACCCAAAAACTCTGACATCAACACTCACACCCACACCCACGTCGCAAAAAAGCATCGAAATCTATTGTATTTTAAATATCGAAATTTTCAAAAGCTGGTAATTACTTTAAAAAATGTCACTCAATCTACAGCATGAAATTTGGAAAACTGTTTTTAGATTTGTATCGTTTTGAAGTATAATTCATTGAAAACTGTGACCTTGTAGAATATTCCATTCTCTACAAAACTAGAAAGGAAAGATTACGTAAGAACTACTGTTTCGAAAATTTTTAACAGTATAGTGACGAAAAAAGAGCTAGATCAAAGTCTACTGTCTTGTTTCTTGAAACATTTTCTTTCCGTAAAAATTCATAGAAGATGATGATTTATGAATCAATTGGCAAATATGCTGCGAGAAAGATTTCAAAATAATGATTCTCTATTGAAATGGGACCGTTTCCCGTTTATTTATGCAGAAAATGACAAATTAAAGCATCCCCGCCAAAAACATAAGTAGCATCAATGGGTTCATTTCCTTAGAAGTTTATTTTGCGCTTGATCGTAGAGCAGCGGAGGCTGGACCTTTCATTGATACAGAGAAACTACCTATTTGTTCCTCTAAATGTGTTGTAACAACCAAAACATATGTATGTTCGGCTTCGAGAGAAATTTTGAAACCAAATTGATGAATTTCATCACCACTATCGTCGTCCTCAATGATTAAGTTTTCATTTGGTTTGGATGAGTCGAAAGATGTATCATAGAGATAGCCCATGGTGTCAAAGTCACTGTGACTATTGAAAGTGTACATGCCAGATGCGGATACAACTACTTCAATAGCTTGATAGTAGTATTCAGCATTATCCTTTACCTCACCACCATAATCGAGTCGTGCAAATTTCAAGTTGTCGAATGGCAATTCACTGGAAAATGCTGATGAAACAATAGCTGGAGTGGTTACTAGAAGAGTCAAACGTGATTGTTAGTACATTAAGTTGGATAGATGCATGACAATTATAAATCATCAGTAGGTTGCCTAGTTTTGGCCTTATTCTTATTCTCTTTCTTGTATAATAGTTTCCTAAATTCTAACAGGCTTGCATTATTTCTAGTATTTTATTAAATGTATTGAACTAATAGATTGTTTTAGACATCCAAAAACAAAATTATCAGTTGAGACTCTATCGGATTAATGTATGAAATATAATAAAGCTTTTCTCTGTAAAGCACTTGTGAATGTCTCTGGGGTAGAGAATGAAGAAGTTTGCCCACATTTTTCAATTATAGAGAATTATGCTGTGTATTCAGATGAGTTATTTTCATCAAAAGAGGCACTTTACGAAGAAAATTTGTTGACAAACAAATCAATTCTTGAAGAAATGGAAGCTACTATCTGTGATAAACAATCAAATCATCATTATTTTCGATCTATACAAGATTATGATTTGCATGCATAAAGAAATTTATGTTTAATAAATTCACCTGCAGTTAAAGGCTGACTGGTTGATGGCGTAAATGGATTAAGTTCTACATGATCTGGACCATGAGTTAATATTGAGAAATCGCCAGTTTCGTACGTTCCATGTGTTGTAACAACCAATATATATTTATTTCCAGCTTCAAGATAAACTTTTAAACCAAATTGTAAAGAGATATCTCCACTATCGTCATCAGCCATGATCAAATTATTTTCCGGTAGTGATGGATCAAACGAGTCATGATAGAAATAGCCAAATGTGTCGAGTTCACTGTCACTTGTTAGAGTGTACATACCAGAGATTTGTACGCTAACTTCAATAGCTTGATAGTATTGAGTGGCTTCATCGTAGCTATCGGGTCGATTGAAAACTCCAGCAGCTGGTGAAAGTTCACCCGAAAGGGCTGACAAAATAGGAGCCGCAGTAGTTGCTAGAAAAGTGGAATAACTTCATTACTAAACCGAGTTATATACACGTTCATTAACAGTAAACTAAAAGTGATTCGCGCCGATTTCTTTACAAAGATCCTCTAGATTTGTACATCTATCATTTTTTGTTCATTGGAAGTCGATTTTCTGGAGAATAAAGTCGATTAGACTAAGAACTAAAACAATTCTCCTTTTCAAAGATTAGTGAAAGAGACAAAACAATGGAAACTAGTATCGATATTTCAATGTTTAACCAACTTAATAGTTATCGGTCATAAGGCAACTATTGTTGTTATACATACATGCAAGTACTGGTTGAATCGTTGATGGCGTAAATGAAGTAAGTTCGATGGGACCTGGTCCATTAGTTAATACTGAGAAATCTCCAGTTGCCTGAGTCTCATGCGTGGTAACCACCAAAATGTATTTGTTTCCAGCTTGGAGATAAACTTCTAAACCAAATTGTAAAGAGATATCTCCACTATCGTCATCAACCGTGATCAAATTATTTTCCGGAACAGATGGATCAAACGAATCATGATAGAAATAGCCGATTGTGTCGAGGTTACTGTCACTTGTTAGAATGTACATACCGGATGTTTGTACGCTGACTTCAATAGCCTGGTAATAAAAGGAATCTTCATTGTAACTGTCGGGTCGATGAAATACTCCAGCAGCTGGTGACAGTCCACCCGAAAGGGCTGACAAAACAGGAGCCACAGTAGTTGCTGAAAAAAAGTAGAAAAATATTGTTGCTAATCAAGCATTAGTACTACTAAAGCAGGACATTGTGGATAATGTGCATTCACAAGAAAACTATATTTGATGAACTTACTTGCACCTATAGGCCGACTGGTTGATGGTGTAAATGAATTAAGATCAACAGCGCCTGGACCACTAACTGATACTGAGAAAGGGCCTGTTTTCGATGAGTCAAATGTTGTAACGACCAAAGTATACACGCGTTCGGCTTCGAGAAAAGCGTCGATAAGAAACTGACCATTTTCGTTACCATCATCATCAGTTAAAATTAAATTTTCACTTGGCACCGATGGGTCGAAAGAGTTTTCATAGAAATAGCCGATCGTGTCGATTTCACTGTCACTGATGAAACTGTAAGTACCAGATATTGATGCAGTGACTTGAATAGCTTGGTAATAAAAGACCTCGTCAGAGCTAGCATCTTCTCGAATATAAAACCCACTAGTTATTGTTAGTCCGCTTGCGTAAGATGATGAAATTGTACGCTCAACAGCATCTTCTAAATAGCAAAAAACAGGGCTTGCTACTGAGAGAGTAATGAAAAACAAATTTAGAGAGTATCTATGATTTTTATATGCGTTGGGTTTCAGCAAAGTAGTTTTGATATTAAAAGAACTTCACGTTGCTAGAAAAAAATTTTACTTATTCTCCATTCCGAACTAGACTTCATATATTAAACTTTTGTATATAGAGTTCCACAAAAAAAAATTGATGGGAAAATAGTTAAAATAATCCCATTCACACTCAAGAAGCCAATGAAATTGCTTTCATTGAATTGAATTCTCTTATATTTGGTTACACATAAACCATAGACGTAGGAAGATTTCTCAAAGTTTCACAATATAATGTAAACTTAGTTCTGATTAGTCACGTATTCTGTGATACACAATATTTTACACGATCTATGGATTGATAGTTATTCGAGAAGCAGCATAGAGGCTTTCAATTAAGGTTACATATATATATTATTCTTAAAGCTTAATGAACATTTTCGACTCGGATCTGAATACTCTTCTACGTAGATCGAATATAGTTTTAGTTAGGGTAAAAACTATCGAAATAGAAATAATGTCTCCATCTGAGCGTTATTATCACTTGTAATCAGATTCAAGATACATGTATCAACATATAATTAGATCCAGCATAATATAACGTCTCGATTCAATATCTGACAACTTTTGAGAAATTTTTGCCAAAGCAGTAGTCAAAAGGCAACCGAAGTTTTTTTAAATAGAATAAAGAACATGCCACGTTTCTTACGGTTAATTCGAGAGACCTAAAAATGAAGTAAAAATCAATATTGTAGTAAAACAACAATAAACTAACCGGAACTCCATGAGCCACAAATATCAAACACGCGCCAAGAATGGCAACTGTAATGGCCTTCATACTTCTTCGATATTTATCAAAAATAATACGACTGATTTGAAGTGCTTCAGCTATCCCATCATTTATAGTGGAAATTTCAGCCGACTCCATTGCACGCATTCAGTCGCTGGTTTTGTTTTTGTTATCGGGGCTCTTATCTCTAAGCATAGGGTAATATTTCAATGCCATCAAAGCACCTGATGAATTCTAATTTTGCGAGCCGATTGAAAAAATAAGTATATCAAATTACATTAGTTTCTTTTATTAGAGAATATTCAATCAGTCAAAGTACAAAGCTAATATCATACTGAATAGTAAAAGGGTTATTTCTGTTTTCTTTTTATAATCCCTATTGATATAATGGGTCTACCATGAAATGTGATAGTAAATAATATCAGCCAGTGTGCACATACTTCAATCACTCGATACAACTTAAGTTAGAGCAGCATATGTGTTTATCGTGGTAAATTGATCGAATTCAGAGCTACTATTGAGTTTCAAATGAATACCATCTACTGTGTTGTGAATAATTTCTGAGTAGTTGAATGTATAGCGTTTCGATCTTCATCATTTCGAGTCTATTTTATATTCCTGTGCGTCTGCATTCGAAAAATTTCATTCCATGCGATATTTGCAATCCAGGATATAGCTATGATTTTTCAGGGCTACGCGAAAAAAGAAATAAAAATGATGCATTTCTTCTATGGCGACGGTCAGTAGTTTTTCCTTTTTTTATCTATATGAATTTTAGAATACCATTTTCGATTAATATTATAATTTAGTTCATTGAAATTCTTCTAGACTTCCAATGTAAATCTGCATCTGAGACAGATCATTACAACAATGAAGAAGTTCTCTGAAACTATAACTACGTTTTAGATTAAAGTAAGATAGCATTAAAAAGACAAAGAAAATAATATTTTACTATTCTTCTTCGCCTTGAGAACGCATTTATTTCTTTAGATCTTTAAAAATTCGAGATGAAAGTAGAATTCCTGATTTAGAAGAAAATCAGTGACTACCGGGAAAAGTTGAGAAAACTATCTAATTTTTAGGTGTCATGCTCAAATGTAGTTTTCGCTTATGGACAAAAGTCGAATAAAAATATAATGATGGATAATATCTTACAAAATTGTTGTACAACAATCCAGATTTTTCTCATGTACTCAATAGGAATGTTGAGCAATTGCATCTGTGAATATCTATCTTGAGGCCTTGATGAATCGTTGAAAAGATTCTTTGAGGATTCTTTCAGTGAGCTTTGACTGAAATCTAAAGTAAAATATAAGTATAACTGCATTCAAACTTAGGAAGCGAAGAACACAAAACAAATTGTTACATCTAAGCCAAACACTTAATTATTGACTGATTCTATACAATAGGTAATCTAAAAAAGAGAACCTACTTCACCACATTTCATGGTTCTATTCATATACTCTAAGCATTAGTGTCTCGGATAAAAATGATATGACAGGCGTTCATGATTGTATGCCTCTTTCGTGTTCTATCAATATTAACAACGGATAACCGATCAGCTTATCGTACTGTAAAGTATCAATAGAGTTATATGAATAGGATCATTTATTCAAGAAAACCAGCAACAAAGTTATTTTACATTGAGCAGAATATGATATTTGAGAGCACCAGCGCCCAAACGATAGGCGATGCAAAAAGATATAGAAAAAACTGTCTACCACTTATAGAAGTTACACAAACATATAGTTGATACGATTTTCATGATTGGTAAAACGTAATACCGATAGAATGTCGATAGACTAAAGTGTGATGGTCGAGAAAATTGCTATCGTCTTACAAGCAAATAGACAATTAATAATTGCTGTCGCTAATACCAACGACTACAGTGCCAGATGTATCAATAATTAATTTGATACCTTTCATTCTACAAGCAATGGCACTGTTAAATTTCCAATAGAAATTTGATACTTTGATTACATCGTAATATTGAGAAAAATCGAAGATTCTAAAAAAACTCAAATATTACTAGGAGTAACATAAAGATATTTTCTTGTAATTACAATCGATGATCATGTTTAACCAAATCAAACTCCATAACTTATTTCTTTCAATACGATTTCGAATTCGAGTCGTAATCTTAGTAATATTGATGAAAGTGATTTATGTACGACTTACAATAGCGATATATTTGATTTAGATTAAAAGAAATTCATGGCATATATTACATAAATTTAATATTGAGCGTAAGAGAGTATATAAATCTACTTTATTAGATGAGGCGATTTTTTCAGATCATACGGGACAAACTAATTATGTGAATAGTATGAGAAAAAAGAACTCTTTGAACCATTGAAATGAATATTAGTTTTATGAACATGTACTTAAAAAGACGCCGATTGAATTTTGATTATAATCTACAGTTACAAAATCCAATCGACTATCGCCATTGAAATCGCCAACAGCTATTTCCTGAGGACTAGAACCTTGTCCAGTTGAATAAGTCTGTTGTTTCCAAAATTTTCCTTTGCCATATCCGAGTAATATACCGATGTTACCCGTACCAGAATTAGGAACAATAAGTTCTAGTATATTATCTCTATTTAAATCACTACAAGCGATGGCATAAGGAAAGGATCTAGTACCTGTAGAAATTATCTTTTTCTCTATAACAGTTCCATCACCATTTCCAAAAAATATACTCGTATTGTTTGCCTTATAATTAGCAGTTGCAATATCTAATGTATCATCTCTATTGAAATCAGCAGCTGCGAGTGCAAATGAACCCGATTGAGTCTTATATGTCATTTGATCTGAAAAACTTCCTGTACCATTACCAAGAAATACGCCTAAATTATTTCAATCACCATCACCAACGGCAATATCAAGTCGATGATCTTTATTAAAATCATACGTAATGACTAAATATGATTCTGCACGATGACCAGTGACTAGTACTGCTTTTTCTGTAAGTGTTCCAGTATCAGTTCCAAGAAATACAACTAGTCTGCCATTTTCATGATCGGTAACTACCAGATCTAGAATATTGTCATTGTTCAAATCGCCAAGAGCGAGTCCCACAGGAGTAGAGCCGATTCCTGTAGAAAATGTCGTTTGTGTTGAAAACATTTCATGACCTTGTCCGAAAAATACTCCAACATTACTAGCATTTCTATTTGCAACAACAACATCTAATTGATTATTTTTGTTTATATCTCCAATAGCAATTCCAAGTGGTTTAGCACCTGGCCTATTCAAAAGATCTATCTGTTTCTTAAAACCGCCATTTCCATATCCGAGAAATATACTTGTAGTGTCTCCATCATAATTAGTAACAACAAGATCTAAAAATCGATCATTATCGAAATCAGCAGCCTTGACAGTGATTGGCCCTGGATCAGTAGGTAGAGGAATCATCGGCGTAAACGAAATTCTGCATACATTCGCTAGAGAGAAAACAAAAGAAACATATGACCTATTCCAAAATATGTTAGATATTGAATTGCTCATCTAATAAAAATAAATACAATGCCTTGCAATTTATACCGTGTTGGGTTAGTTATATCAAATCTATAAAGAGACGTATGTAGAAGATTGTTATTAGTCAATCCAATAAAAAAAAATGGTTAGAAACAATTGTTAATTTTATCTAGCACCTATGAAATGAACGACAATTTATGGAATATATCATTATTTCAAAAACTTGCATGATGCTCGATTAGGTATATAGAGACTCATCGATGAAAGCACAACTGTTGCTGCCATAGCGACACCAAATACACAGGTAGTCAGCAAGCTGCTGGGTAGCCTATACATAGTAAGAATAAATCCATGAAAAAGAAAGCCGAGATGGCTTATGCTTACCAAAGCATGTTGCCTCGAATCAGAAAATATTGATAATGAGTATATAAGAGACATTATATGCATAACAATCGATAGATATGATCATGTTTTCCATTCTTCGACATTTACCTTGAAAAAACCTATCACAGCAATCAAGATGTCTGATTTTAATAATAAGAAAAGTAACACTAGCTGTTAACATCTGTTTCATCTTCCATCGTGCTTTCTTTTTTATGCTTCACATTTATATGTAGTCCATGTTTCCGTGTAATAATAAGTATGCACATTAAATTATAATTAAACAATTTTCAAGGCTAACCAAAATATTAATAGAAGATACAGTACTTGTGGCATTTTTCTGTGGCGAAAACTTAAAAAAAGACAACATGCCTTGAATCCTGTCTATTCAGATTGTCACAACGGAACGTAACTACCTCTTTACGCCATATAGACTGAAAACTTACAATACGATATGAATCCAAAGTCATATGCTTATTTATCATAGGGCTGAAGAAGAAAATATTCTAAGTTTTTAATGATTTCCATTGTGCAAATTTGTCATCGAGATCACGTTGCCAAACTGTCATCAATTGAATTTTCTTGCTTTTTTCTATTAGAAACGCCACTTCAACGCCTTGCCGATCTCTTTCCTCCCAATCATGACCATTCTGTATGGGATTCAATCGAAAGACACGCATATAATACGGTCCCGTCCATGTAGCGTAGAAACGACATTGATTGCTACAACCAAAATCTACTGCGTCAGCCCAATCGTATTTCATGTTCGAATTGATAACAATCTCATTTCCATAGTGAGTCATACGACATTGACGTTTTTCTCTAACGTTTCGTCTCATTAAACTATCGGCTGTGGCTAAGTAAGGTTCAAGGAATTCTATTTCGCGTGATCGATGAATCGAACGACGAATTGTTTGAGCCACATTAGATAGCGATCGTGGATCATCGAAATCTTCCGATAGCATACGAAAAACTGCATTGGCCACCAGACTCGGCGGAGCAATGGATTCAGAGACACCTCGATAATTCACTATGGTGCTTGTGTGTTTGATGCATTCGTCATTGTTGTCAAGACAAAACGTATTGAGTAAAACAATAATGTAGGCTATGAGTACATCATGAATAGTGACACTCGTTTCATTCACGAGTGCATGCAATTGTGTAAGTTGTTCACCAGAAAATCGCAGATTGATTTGAGAATAATTATCTAGATTGTTCGTAATATTGCTACTCAATCGTTCTTTTGGTACGGCATCTTCAAATAGATTCATCAACGGTAAGAACGACGAAGCAGCTTCTTTCTCTTGCCACAGACGACGCTCGAATATCGGATCAGGTATACATGGTTCTAAATGTTGATAGAGGCGTGATAATGTATTAAGAAAGTGTAGACATGAAATAGCATCGCCTAAGACATGCGCCCAACTGATACCTATAACCCATTGGTCACTTTGAATAATGTGTGTGATTTTAATTCGTAATAGTGGTTCATACGGCGAATTATCTAATAGTTTTTGATTTTGTACAAAGTTAAAATAGGATTTCATTAACGAATAGCCGTTCTCGACCACCACAGTGGAATCAAATGGCCACTGCAACAAACTATGATTGTTATCAATCGATATTGGAATCGCATGATCGACCATTTCGATGAAATATCTATCGTTGTCTAATAAAAGAAGATGGCCAGCAACGAGAGGCCACCTAGAGAGAGTATGACTGAGTGCTTCTTTAAATCGATCAAGATTCAAAGAGCATGGATAGACAAATATATTATCAATGCGAGCATCCAGCCATAGGTCGATACCTGCTAGTTCAATGTGACGACCATTTCCTGTCGGCGGTGATGGAGAAACAAATGAAGTTACCATATTTTCCATAGTTAAAGAATCGGATTGATGCATTGAAATGTATTTCAAGTCTTTGACGTGGACGCTTTTCATGAGAAAGAAATGATAAATTTTTTACGACAAAAGATATACAGATTACGAAGTGACATGCACATGGTCTGTGAGAAAGATTGCAAACGCAAGTAAATTTTATCTTATCTGATTGTTGGTTATTTCTGTAGTCGTGCTTATTGACAGTTTATGAAAGAAAATTTCATAAGATTAGTTTTCGTGCAAATTATTACGATTGAAAGCGTTCAGAATGAAGATCTACTTTTTTTTTGTTTGTCGTAATTTAACTAATACCAATATAATTAATATCAGCTTGATTAATTTCTAAATGTGTTAATTAATTAGTTCATTGATCAATAGCCAAACTTTCCTATGCGACCAAGTCCCAATCCAACATCTAGTTATTATGCTATTTCTGTTATGATCAGATGATACAAGTGATTTCAACTCAATAGTGATCAGTGATTTATCTACTGTATGGGCAGGGTGAGCGCCGTCCACACGAAAATAAATAGTTGATTTCATAAAAGTAACGAGTGGCCCATAAAGAATGGTGGTCTCATTATTTACTCAATATCGTTTTTGCTCTTTATTGATTTGAACTGAACATTTTCCCAAAAGGTTGAGCATTCAATTCTCTACAAGCTCATGTGTAAAAGATTTTTTAAAACTACAAAACGGCAAAGTACTAAAACGAAAAAAAAGGTTAAAAAATCTTCAACATACATTAACATTTGGAGTATGTTTCGACAATTTATACGCAGGCTTAAGTTACGGGAGAAACATTTTTGGGTATTTTCAAGTACGCTCTTTTGGATATCTTTGAAAAACATTTCTTTAAAAGTGGTCTTCGCCTATTAAATCGATATTTTCTGAAAGCACGTCCATAACGCCTTAATTTCGGTTTACAAGAAAGTCTACTGTAAACGGAACTTTGCATCATTCTAACAAGTGTACAGGAATGTAGTGGAGTATGTTGGCTTTCAAAGAAAAAAAAATCGTCAAAAAATAATACTTTTTAAGTGAATGGCATGCGTTTTAGTGCAAGCATCAAAAACGTGACATCACAGCTGTGTTTTTTAGAAAAAGCGAAAAAACCGATGCAGAATTTTTTATACTCATTTTGTAATGAAAACAAAATTCGAAGACATGAATCTTGTCCAGAATCTGATGCTTTTTAACATGGTAGACTGAGTTTTTTTGTAGATCCTCACATGGAAAGCAAATTTTCAAAACAAAACGGATTTAGTGCTTGAAAGTTGAAGATTTTTCGACCTTTTTTCTTCGTTTTAGTACTTAGCCATTTTGTAGTTTAAAAAATCTTTTACATGTGAGTTTGTAGAGAATTGAATGCTCAATCTTTTGGGAAAATGTTCAGTTCAAATCAATGAAGAGCAAAAACGATATTGAGTAAATAATGAGACCACCATTCTTTATGGGTCACCCGTTAGTATATGATAGTAAATTTTCGAGCCAGCAGCCCCTTCAAAAATTTCAACCGCCCACCCGAAAAATAAAACCTAGATAAAACACTGCTAATAGTGATTAGTCAACTGGAAAACTGTCTGATTTAATCTATGTTTTAAAATTGTAAATAGTACCGCAAACATCGTTTTCAAACAAATCAACTTTATTCGATAAAAGGCAACAACTAATGGTACGATTTCACGAATAATAACATCTTAAGAATATCATTTTTTTTAATTATAAATGTATTTATCGAACTTTTAGTATCTCTGATTTTGCTAAACGTACAACAAGGAGTATAAATCGTACATTAAATCCGGGATAAATTATTTTGTCGTTAACTATGAACTTCATGCGACATAATATTTATTTAATAAACAATTATCATCAAGTTATTGATTTTGTTTTAACTACGATACGCTGCATAGTGTTTACAACTGGACTCATGCCGATGATTACCATCTCGTCGAATAGCATTGTAATTAGCCAAGCATGACCAACAAAATTCATAACGACATACTGTGCATGTCATATGATCACATCCATCTGCTTTTTCTATACGGGACGAACATTTTGGGCATTTTTTACATTTCTGTGCAATCCAACATTGTGAAGCATGCACTTGTGGGTTTTTCACAGCATCAAAACTAAATAAAAGAAAAGAACGATACGTTAAATTTAAATCAGAATCGATTTCAGTCACTTACTCTGCACATGTTTGACCCGCATGCCATTCAGTTTTATGCACAAAACATGTTTTCTTATAACATTTTACACACGTAACAATATTATTTCTATTTCCACCTTCATTTAATTGTCCCATTCCGCATCCATGTGCACACCAAATAAATTCTCGCATTTTCTCCAATTGTCTATGAAAAATAAATTGATCGTACTTTTCTTGTAATTTTCTATCTTTATTATTCGATAATATTTTTTGCACTGGATGATATCGAAAGGTAACCCCACAGTTTAATTCAGGACAACGAATATCGTCTGTACACATTTTGCCAAACGCTTGTTTAACGTGCTGATAAACGCAATTATCACAAATCGAACGTTCAGTATGAAGACATCGGCTACTATAGCTCCTTGCGAAATCTTGTTTTGGTTTGTCATCGAAACATACTTGGCATTGTTTTGTTGGTATTTTCCGCTTTGAAGATGATTCTGTTGGATGAATCGATGACAATTTCGTTGGTAGGCAATTAAAACAATAATGCTTATTGCCAATCACTGCATAATCAGTAGATAACAATTTTTCTTTACACTCTTCACACTGCATTTTACTCGTATACAATGTAAATGACGTTTGCTTACTACTTATTCATAGTTTGAAGTTGGAATTTTCTTTCCCTCTTCTGGTTCTGCGTTTTCTCTAGAGGTAATTTTTTTTATGAGTCATTCTCAAAAAAAAAAAACATTGTTCAACATGACCGCTCTCGAACTGAAATGTGTAATTCGCATAATGATTTACGACTTGATATAAAACTACGAAATATGATAAGTGAAAAATTCCTATTCGACTACAGTTATTTGCTAAAGATAATCAATCGTCAGAATAAAAAAACGTTTTTACTAGTGCGTTATTTTTCTGTTTTGATGGCATCAATTATTTATTAAATTAGTGGCTTGACCAGTCCACGATGTTTATGTTGATTCTATGACACTCGTAGAAAATGAATTGATTTCCATTTATCGTTCTTCACATTTTTATTTACAATGAAGACTTCTAAATCTTCCAGAGCATTCTCATTAATGCTATTCGCCATCTTTTCACTCACCTAGGAAACTCTAAAGAATAAGTCTAGTGCCCACTGTCGTTGATTCCCATGGAAATTCACCCAGAAAATGAGAATCTGTCTTCCCATGCATACTCTCAAGACAAAATCTTTCGAAAAAGTTCAAAGTATCTTACAACTAATTCTTTGCTTAAAAATTGATGCAACATGATGAAAATTTGTCGTATTCGAATTCAAAACAGGCTCACTAAAATGTAAACACTCACCTATTAGATCTACTGCAAGACATTAGAAGCTATATAGTTCCACCGAACTTTTGAATAATAAGACTCGTAGATAGAAATGTTTCAGATATAATTCAAAGTAATTTTTATATGAGTTAAGCTGTAGGATAGCAAAAAAGAAAAGAATTAAAATATTACAACCCACAGAAGAAAAAATTGAAATAATGTGCCATATTATACGACATGGAGTTGAGTCCATTATAAATATGGCTATTCGAAAAACGAAATACCATGGACGACTCACAATGAGTATAAAAATTTGTTTCCGGTATTTTTCTCGTTTTAGTGCAAGGATTATATAAACTACACAGATATAATGATATACACATTGAACGATGAATAACAAACAAACGAAGAAGAAGAAGAGGTTTTGTGTGTAAAAATTGACAACCGTTCACGTTGAATAAATTATAATCATCTTATGCTAAATAACGTAGAACATCTTTCTCATTCGATTGCCTTTCGAGATATTCTTTTTCGATTAGTACATCAATACATTTCTAGAAAAACGAAACAATTCTTTTTTAATTTCATTGAAATAAATATTTTAAGTTTACTTTAATAACAGGAATTTTCGGTCTGAATCGTGAACTTAATTGTTGAATAACTTCTTGCATTAGTAACGCATGTCTTAATGTTTGTCGAGCTTTCATAATTCGCACGATCGCAGCTTGAATAACCATTTTACGATCTTCATCTATCGTTCGATGTACTCCTTCAATATCTTTTTGTTCGACGGATTTCAATGGAACGTTTAGATTTATTCGAAGTTTTTTACTATGAAATAAACTTTTAGATTAAAAATTTTAATTTATCAATTCAATAGAATACCTCCTAAAATCAGTTGATAACCGAATAGAATAATGTGTTTTAATATCACTCTCTTTAAAATCTTCATCTATTTCATCATCATTTATATCTGTACATATTAATAATTTACTCTTTAATAAGCCCAAAATAACTTGTAATAATAATTCAGATTTTATTTGTGTTTCATCTTGAAGTCTTTCCACTGTCCAAGTCAATACTTTATTAAATAATAATAAAACTACCATTTGATAAGTTGATACCTTTGAAATGACGAAAAAAGTGAAATGTTTTAATTACAAAATCTTAATCGATGATTATCTAGACTTACTTGTAATATATATTTTTGCGTAGTAAAATATGTCTGTAGTTCTCCTTTCGAATGTTGATGAAGCCAAGTTAATTTTCGCCCATTATGTCGATGTGTATAAAATTCAGTAAAACTATTAAATGTTGATTTTAACTATAAAATAAGTAATAATAAGTTATAAATCAGAGCAAATATGTCATTCAGTAAAATCGTACTTCTAAGGGAATGACAAAATTAGAAGAACCAGAAAATGGCCAAGAATTTGAACTAAGAACCATAACCGAAAAATCAGCTAAAAATAATTTTTTCGGTTAATAATTTTTTCTTCTGATATTTGTTTACCTGTATCAGTTATGGAATGATTTTCACAGTATTTTTCGTATTCAGTTAGTAGCGTTTTACTCACGCCAATGTCTTGAAACATACGCTGTAGTTTTGAAGTATATTCGAAACCACACGCTTGCTAAAAGCACAAAAATTATTTTTAGAAAAGTTAAACGTGAAAGACAACCCCGTCGTTCTGATTAGTGATAGACAATAAACTATGCACAACTCAATGGAACATCAATCTAATCCCATAAATTTAATTCTTCTTGGAGAAGCTCATAAAGAGCTAAATCCTTGATTTTATAAAGAAGATGAATACAAATATTTACTTTTAGTTTTGATATCATTGATTCTTCATAATCATCTGAAGCGCTTAATTGACCAACTAAACGTTTTGCTAACATTTTACTATAAAATTTTTGATAGACATCTTTATCTTCAATGTAATTAAAAACAATCTAGAAAATTCATAAAATTCTTTCGAAAGATCCTCTTGATAGAAATAAACAGATAAGTGTACCATAATTTGATTGAATTTTTCTTCAAGATCTGTTTCTTCAACAGCTTTACTTCTATTGAAAACAAAAAAAAAGGAAAACAATTAAAGAAATTTTAATATTATAAATTATTTTCTAAACAAACCCTTTTCTAAGCAATGCATCACAATATCGAGCTAATAATTCAGGTGATTTTGTTGTACTGCCAGCTGATTGTGTTACTACATTATTATTTATAAATTTACCACAAGCCTAGAAGCCAAATTTGAAAAACAAAAATAGACAAATTGCCACACGAATAGAAATCAATTACTTTATCTAGTGCAGCAGTAAAACCTTGTTCACCATTAAACGATTCTTGTACGAGTTTTAAGAATTTCTTATGAATATCAATTACCGTTTCGATATAAACTTTTGGATCCTAAAACATAATCAATAGAGAATACCATTTATTCTATGACAGATGAGGTTATTATTACGATTCATAAATAATTGTTTTGTTAATAACTGATGATAAAAGTAAGTCCTCGTTGATTAATACAGTAAGGTACAAAGTCAAGAGCGGATCATTTATTCAAATAGGAAAAAAGCGCATGTAAACAGATGACATACTATGACAATGATATTTACTTTTACGGCTAGGATGAAATCTCTCGTATTCGTATCCCAGTAAAGGATGAATATCATTATGTAATCTTACGAAAATTTTCGCTTTCAGTCAATGGTTTTCAAAAATCATTCTGTCGCCCTTCTAGAATTTTACTAAGGAAACTTCTAATTACCATTTTAAGCTATCTCCTATGTCTATATGCAATTCGGTAGAGTACGTGCGCAAATTAATTGTAACTCATTTGTTCATCTCGTACACAGTTATTGAAATTTTTTCAAAACCCAAAACCCTCGAGCCTATTTCTATTGATTAAAATTCAACTTACATTTATTGCTGTTCCACTAACACGTTCAATTGTATTTATACCCATTTCATAAATATGATTTTCGACAATCTTTTTCAGCTCATTAGTAGCATTTGGTATTCGATTGGTTAATTTGAAGAGAAGTGCTAAGTCTACGGAAAACAAAAACAGAATTAAGAGAATTTTCTAAGTTTTGTTTTTGCACCTTGATATCGCTCGTCGCGCAGAAGTTTTTTTGCTTCTGTATAAATAGCATCAAGTTGATCACGAATAAGAACCTCTTCAACTTTTTTAATCAATATCGATAATGTTGATGGATGTAAATATGATTGCACTCGATGCACTTCTTCATCAAGACGTGTTGCGACCTATTATGCAAAGTACAAATATTTATTTATCATAGTGAAACGAAAATCAAAACATACTTTTTTTAGATACTCAGTAACGGAATTATGAACAAGAAATGTTGCTGCTTCTAACCGGTAGAATTGTTCTGTATCATGTAGAAAGTAGAGTTCAAAATAGTCTCTATATATTGTCAATGTTGGTGATGTTATATGGCTACTGTTCGTTAACTCTTCAGTAAAACCAAGTGCCACTAAAAATATTCAAGAAATTATTCGGTAAAAATAAAAAATAAAATTCGTTTTGTTTTACCATAGCTTTGAATAACACCACTAATTAATCGAGTATTTATTATTTCATTATTTCGTTCGGATTTTATCAAATCAAGACAAGCATGTGTAACTTGTTTATGTAATGGTTGAAAAACAACTTTTTGCCAAGAATCCATAGCCATCTAGAAAGCGCAAAATCTCTTGTAATCAAGAATATTAAATGAACATCGATATTTACAGTATATATTTCGTATATATCCTTTCGTCCGGAATTGAATTCACGTTGTACCCAATGACGATTAATATATGAACAGAAATCATTCATCACTTTACTCGAAAATTGATATTTTTCCCAACGATTTGTATAAAAACGAAGAACGCCTTCGCCTTGTAGATCGACTCCACTCTTGAAATTCAAAACACGAGCATCAAAATCATTGTAAAAAATAATTCATCATTAGAAAAAATAGAATCAAAGCATCGGTCCAATCGAGAAATCGCACTCGATACTAAAACACTACTTACCTTGGCTATGCAATCGAAAAAGAAGAGTTCGTTTTTGACTCTGCAAAGGTATGACTCATCCAAATTATCCATTGAAATTCAAATAGAATGTACTGAGATTCTCAAATCTTTACACTGCATTGCATATTTTCTTGTTTGTTTTTGTGCAAAAGCATAACATTATGTAAATCATTACAAGGATTTGCAAACCTCATAAATAGCGAATAAAAAGCGAAAATCATAGGAAAAGTCTCACATATTTGACAGGAACAAAAAAAGCCAATGGATTATGACAATCTGTGAGAAAAAGGAACATCAGTGCATATGAAAAATCCTTTCGGAAGCGAGATCAAATCACTATGAATGCATCTGTATAACGGTAAGAAAACTTAATTTGAACAGTATGTAACAGCTGGACAGATTTTCTTCATTAACTACCATCTACAAAGAATGTAATTATTGCTTGTATGACCTTCGACAACTTTATAAAAATTTAATTTCTATTCCTAGAGATAACTTTCAATGAGAACATTTCAACAAATAGTAAGATTTTTAGTTGAGCGTCATGAATAAGACAAACAAACAATTGCTAATTAGATTTACAGATGTGAATGATATGTATGTAAATCATATTAGCAAAAATGTAACATTCAGATGGAATAATCATTTGTGCGTACGCTAAAGATAAAACGCTGTTTCTACTCTAAAATTCTATCCAGTGACGAAGTCCTACTGATACGATAGATTGTAACTGAACGAAGAACAAAATAGTTAATGATATCTATGCAATGAGAACTGTAGAAACTATCCGGAAATACAAATAGGACTACAGAAGTACTGCTAATTATTCTTCAAGAATACTACTCGGAACGTTTCTCTTAATATCACACATTGAATCGTTTATTTAGCAACCATACTGAATTATTACGTAAGAATCTTCAAGGACATTTACAATATATTCGACCTTACAAACAGATGCATGGATCACAAATTTGTTTTAATTTCTGAGCTTAATCAACACTATGAAATTATTGAACTAAAATCATATGTTACATATTGTTACTGGTTCTTAGTTTTTAAAAATAAAATCTCAAAAATAATTCATTCTCTTAGTAAATAAAGCAAATTAATTCTTGTTAATAACTCACTTGGCAAACATCTTTCAAGTAGTCTTTTAGATAATTCTTCAATTTATTATATAATTCTCCTCCAACAATATTTGCTCCATCTTGTCCATTTGATCTTGATAAACCACCTATATGCACCCTAGAAGTTCCTGGAACTGTTCTTGACTGATTTGGATTACTTATACAATAATCATATACATGACTGAAAGTTCAAAAAACACATGAACTCAATAAAAACACAAAACATTCAAATTTTTATTTACGTATAAAGTAGCATATAAGCGGGTTTTTTCATCCCTTGAAATTGATAAACATGATTAATACCGTCTAATAATTTTGCCCAAACTTCATCTAATTTAACATGTCGATTTGTTTGTGACATCCTTGTCACTTGAATAAATGAGAGGAAAAATCACAAAATACTCAGCTGATTTTCTTTTTCTTCATGAACACAATAAATAAATAGGACGAGCGGCATGCCTTCGGTACGTGTACGACGCAATTGAGCGAACGCCACAGTCCGTGTGAAGCACTCAAATTGAACGCGGGCGCGAGTGTTCCAAGTGTACGTCACACGTACGATTAAAAACTCTCCAATGCGGAGAGTACAGAATCAGATAATGGCGGCGCATATTGTAAGGATACTTATTAATTTTTTTCTCTCTATGAAAACATTCGTTATATTTTTCAAAACAAAAATATTTTTTCAAAGTAAACTCACACAAGATAACTGAAAAATACTTCAGTTTTTTGCAAACACCTTGGTAACGAATAATTTTTTTAAGTAGTATTTTTTACCTAAATTTCACCATATTTCTATTTTTTTCACTTGATTCTGAGACACCAAAAAAGATTTAATTAGAAATAATACTGGTTAGTGTTAATTCAAACAATTGAATAGATATGTAATTACTCAAATATCAGATTTGCATTCAAATGCAGACACAATACTACTTTTGTGATGAATTCATCCATGCAGCTATACTTTTAATTGAATTCCAATTAGATTTAATTTCAATAAATCTCAATAGAAATTTTTCTCACGTCTAAAACAAGATTATAACTATTTCCGAGATCACGTTCAACAAAATTCACTCATTATTAATATTCATTTTATTGTACATTGAACTGAAACTAATTTTTTATTTTATTCGTAGTAAAATTTATTAATGAAAGGAATTAATTGATAATTATAATTAATTTAGAGTTGAGTTACGTTTAATTTAATTTAATGGCTGGTTTAAAACGAAAATTAATGTCATTCTATCTTGATGGAAATGAATTCATTTTAAGTTTAGCGTTTGTTTTGTTTATTCACAAATTACACGCTTCAATTTGTTCAATGTTCTCAAGAGATAAAAACTGAAACTAACAGCAAGATGAAATAATGTTTCTTTCAAGCAGAAGGACAATCAATTATTTCGAATTAAAGTGAAATATATTTTAGCAAATATTTTAGAAACTGGTTTTCGAATGAATCACCCAACAGCTGGTTGGCTTATAAAAATTCACCAATAGCATCATTACTGAAGTGCATTCGAGACTGTATCGCTCGACTTCGGCAGAGGAATATTACAGTGGATTCTATTGAATGAATATCAACTAATGAAATGCTACATTTAAAGATGAGTTCTTTTTTTTTCTATTTGCCTAAATGAGTTTGGTCTTGTACAGTTCTTCTTCGGATTCGAATGATGATGAAAGTGATGCAAAACATAAAACAAAACGCTTTAAACCACAACTACCGTCGGTTAATATTCAACTCGCAAATGAGTTTGATTTATCAGAAAAAGATTTTCAAACAAAAAATGAACGTTCGAGATTATTTCCTCATGAGAGAGGAAATTGGGCTTTGTCGATTTATGCATTTGGTAAAATTTGAATTTTAATAGAAAATAATTTTGTTTTGTTTTGTGTTTGAAGCTGAATGTTCATCACATTTGGATACAATGATTGATGATTTAATTGAAATATTCGATGACAATTGGAAACGTTTAATGGAATTACATATTAGTTTATCGAAAACTATTCCGATTCGTTTTCATCATATCGAATCAATTCGTACAGGTCTACAACATGAATTATCATTATCAATGATTCAATTTTCAACTCGAATAGAAAATGTAACAATATTAACAAATGAAGATGAATCAACGTAAGATCAAAAAACTGATTGTTTTTTCATTATGCTATCTCGCCTTGTGTTTCTTCTATGATAGATCATTTTTAGTTTTTACACTTGATCAAGATCGACAATTTGCTAAATTGATAGAAATCATCGATAAAATACTTTGTGAACATCGATATCCAGGTTATTACGAAGTAGGAAATCCATAGAAAGAAAAATTATTCATTTCTTTACTCTTTTTTTCCTTATAGAATCCTTGTTTTCATATTAGTTTTGCTTATTCAATGGATAAAAGTCGAAAAGAAAAGTTACCAAAGGATTGGAAGGAAAAATGTTTGGTAAGATAAAGAAAATTTCTATAAATCAAAATCATATACATGATAATAAGTAAACGAGGGAATCTACAACTAAAGTTGCAAGTGATTTCTTACAGCAGGAATCACGATCACGGATTAATAAGAAATTATTTGAGATCAACATGACTAGTAGACAGCAGAGAAAAATAGTAATTAAATTTTTCTGAGTACTTTAGTCTTTTTTCTAATATATAAAAAAGACTCTCCGTCAACGGAAGTCCATTCCAGCTGACTAATTGACTTTGACTCGATAGTCTATGGGTAATAAAATATTCAATAGAAAAGAGTCATTTGGTTAACTTATAATTGCTGTAATAATATATTTTTAAACGAATGTCATGATAACACCATAAAAACTGATTTTCACCTACGAGAAGATCTTAACAAGAACCATAACTTTCACAATGAGTTTATCAATAATGTACATAATTCTAATTAATTAGTTGGAATTCTTCCCTGGCGAGATTTATCGAAATTTTTGGAAGAAAAGAAAATTAGCTGGATCAACTCAGAGCCTATCCCTCTACTTAATCAGAACTGCATAATATTGTTTTTAGGCTGTTTTAAAACAATATCAATGTCAACCAAATGCGATCACTATAGCCGTCGATGATATTCGATTAAAAGCTGGCAAACGTGTTTACCAATTGACTAAATCAACATAGAAATCTAATTTTCTTTTTCTTACAGATATCTAAAATCAGAAAATATATCATTTATGATTTATATTTCAGATATAATGGGTTTCAGATTTGGTTTTCCCAACGTGGCAATTCGTAAACGAATGTCATGGTTTGATTTTTCTATTGCTGTTGCAGTCGGTGTTATTGGTGGCATTTATACATTTCGACCGGGTCTGCAAGATGCCAAAAATGTTATTGAAAGACGAGAAGCGTTGAAAGAAATTCAAGCGAGAAGACGTGCGGAAGCTGAAAACGGTAATTCATTCGTTAGTTCAATTATAATCTTGTCAGTTTTCTTTTTCTCTATTTTTAGAACTTAAATCACAGACCGCAAAATGATAGTTTTCTTTTTTTCTTTTCGCTTATTATATCTCTGATGTTGCTGTTCTTTTTATAATAGTATTTGAGTTTTGTAGATAAATAACAGAAGAAAAAAATGCCGATAGGAAAAATCTCGCCGCCAATTATCAATCAAAAACAACCAGAGAATACACCAATATCAGGCCAAACAGCATGGATCGCAACATTTAAACGCCTATTTAAAGTAGCCAATACACGATACGCATTTCTATGGTTGACCGGTGGAATTCTATTTGCTGCATGTATTAAACCAGCTATAAAACGACGTGATGAAGAATTGATGATCGAGGATGTTAAACATTATTTAGAAAATAAACAACGAAAAGATTCAGCATAGAAAAATTTATCCTAAACCCTTTTGCTTTTATTAATATAGTTTGATTGGATGTGTTTTCTTTTTATCTTGTTTTATATATAAGTTAACATCATCATGTCATCCGATAAAGCAATTCTGAGTCAATTTCAACTTGAAAATGGCTCTTTACTCGGTGGTCCTGTTGAAATTCCATTAACAGTTAATATTCGACAATTAAATAGCGTTGCCAATGGGCTTGTACAAGCACAACAAACGTCAACAGACAGTAGTGACATAATTCCGTATTCATTTTATGTGGATGATATTGAAATAAAAGAATCATTAGAGAAATATTTCGAAGAACAAACAAATCAACAAGCTTTTGAAAAAACTCTAAATATAACTTGCGTACCAAAAGCAAGATTTCAAGTTATACCAGTTGAACGATGTACAGCAACAATTGAAGGACATCTTGAAGCTATTACTGCTTTACAATTTAGTCCCAATGGAAAATTATTAGCATCAGGAAGTGGTGATACAACTGTTCGATTTTGGGATTTAAATACACAAACGCCTTTCGATGAATATGGCAAAGCACATAGACATTGGATTTTATGTTTAAATTGGGCGCCAAATGGAAAAATTGTTGCATCGTCATGTAAACAAGGTCTTATTGGATTATGGGTCGGTGCAACCGGAAAACAATATGGTAAAGATGAACTTTTATTTGAAAAGATTTTTATTGAAATAAGACACAAGTAGCTTCTGATTGTTTTTAATTCATCACGAGTGAAATACTAACAGACAGGCTCAATACTTTTAATATGAAATGATGAAAGTATTCAAGATTTATTACACGACTTACAGGCGATTGGGCCGCTGTTTTACTATTGAGAAAAGTACTCATTCTTACGAAATGACGATAAAATGTATAGAGATAGGCATCGGAAATATTGCAGTTTGGTTGCGAAGAAAAAATAAAGATTTGTCTCGATTTAACCTTCACGGTTGCAAATAAAAAGATCAGATGAAAGATAAGAATCGCTCATGAGATAAGTATAGTGATTTATTAATAGTTTTAAACTGCAACATTGTCGGATCAGTATTACTAACTTTATTTTCTTCTTTCTCCGCCATTGGCAAGAAGAAAAACCAGTAACATTATACTGCGATGTATCTTACTGTTTTATTTTTGTAGTAAAATTAGATGATTCACTCGCACACGATATATTTTTTTTTTCTTTGATTGATTTCAATTAATTCACTAATAGATGTTTAGCATGAAACTTCAGGAAATAATAAACTACAAAATCCTGCCTGAGTGTTTGTGTTGGGAAATCACTATTTTCAGAGAAAAACAAATCTTGAATTAAACATTCAGATATTTTAGTTATATAATAAGCGTACTTCCATTTCAGTCGAAGTTCTAAATAGAAAATGATTGTTTTATTCTAGGCACTAAATTATTATCCGGTCATCGTCAATGGATTAATTCCTTAAGTTGGCAACCATTACATTTGAATGGTTCCTGTCGTCTGTTAGCTTCTGGCAGTAAAGATGCAACAATTAAAATTTGGGATACACACCTATTCAAAGCTGTTTTGACTCTCAGTAGCCATACAGCATCGGTAACATGCATCAAATGGGGTGGTCAAAATTTACTTTATTCAGCATCACAAGATCGTACGATTAAAGTTTGGCGTACAACCGATGGTATTCTATGTCGTACATTAGATGGACATGCACACTGGGTTAATACACTTGCATTATCAACAGATTATGTTTTACGAACGGGTGCTTATGAACCATCAAAAGAAAGTTCAAATGTAGATCTAGATAATTTAGATGATGTTGCATTACAAACAATGGCACTTGAAAGATATGAAAAAGTCTATAGTATTTTCGATACAAATGGTGGTGAACGGCTTGTATCGGGCTCAGATGATTTTACACTTTATTTATGGAAACCTGAAACTGATAAAAAGCCATTAGCCCGTATGACGGGTCATCAACAATTAATCAATGATGTAAAATTTTCGCCTGATACTCGTCTTTTAGCATCAGCAAGTTTCGATAAATCAATTAAATTATGGTCAAGTCGTACCGGTGCTTTTCTTTCAACATTACGTGGACACGTGCAAGCTGTTTATCAAATAGCATGGTCAGCCGATTCCCGTTTACTGGTGTCGGGTAGTGCTGATAGTACATTAAAAGTTTGGAATATTGAAAAACGTTGTATTCTTTTTGATTTACCCGGTCATGCTGATGAAATTTATGCAGTCGATTATAGTCCGGACGGACAAAAGGTTGCTAGCGGTGGAAAAGATAAATCTTTGAAACTATGGAGAAGATAAAAAAAAATACATGAAAATATATTATTCAAGAATAATAAACACCTTGTTTTTGTTTTTTTTGCAGATATTTATAACTTGGTCAGTATTATGAAATTTCATTGGTTAGAGCAGGTACGTGTGTCATTTTTGTTTTTGGTTAAATAGTATTGTTTACTCCTCGGGAAGAACAAAGAGTGAGCGTAGAAATGAATCTAAGATGAGTGCAATTTTTTTGTATTCTCGTCATTTATTTTGATCACGTACAAAAGACTATAATTATTCTTTTCTACAATAGAAGAAAGATAAACATCGCTATTATAAAACTAATCGATTCGTTTTGTTTATTAGATAACAATATAAAATGATCTTTGTTGATTTATATTATTTTCAATAAAAATTTCGATAAAAATGAAATTTGCCGAACATTTATCCGCACATGTTACACCAGAATGGACTAGTCAATATATTCGATATGATGACATGAAAGAATTACTTGCGCAAGCAATGTCAAAAGCGCAACCGTTTGCTGATGATAGTGATAACGTTCTTCGGGAACAATTTTTCTATCGTGTGGATGAACATTTCTTTCCAGTGAGAAATTAAAAATAAATTGTTGTCTTTCTATTTTCCTTATTTCCTTATTTAGTATTGTGAAAAAGAAGCGACTAAAATCAATACGTTTTTTGCAGAAAAACTTGCTGAGTAAGTAAAACAAGAAGAAAGTCAACATTTCTCAAGGCTTGATCTCTTTTTCACTGAGAAATAATTCTGAAAAATAAAATAAATATTCTATATGCTATTCTTTAGAGCAATACGACGATGGGAAACTTTACAAAGTGAAATAGGCCATTTCGAACAATCTCATCGTCATGGATCTCGTCGTACAGAAACATCAGCAGTAAATACCACTGGTACTAATGCGCCAAATGATGATACAAAATCAACGAAAAAGTCTCGTCGTTCCGTTCATACAGAAGAAAATCCTGGTACTGCATCATTAGCGCGTGTTTTGCCAGAACGTCTAATAGAAAAAACACGTGAGAAACACACAAAACGTGTACAATATCGAAAACGCAATGATTTAAAATTGGCATTCAGTGAATTTTATTTAATGCTTGTTTTATTGCAAAATTATCAAACACTCAACTTTACGGGCTTTCGTAAAATATTAAAAAAACATGACAAATTATTTCAAACTGCACGTGGTGAAGAATGGAGGTAAATTTGATTACAATCAATGGAACTTCTAAGTAGAGATATACAAAATCAGTGTCGTCAAGAACTAGAAAGCGAGATTTCCCTACGCCGGAGTACTGGTGATTTAGATCTAAGTTACAGTTGTAGAAAAGAAATAAAAAATACTATTATTGAAGAAACATTTAAAATATGAGAGAAACAAATTCTGCTATATTTTTCTCTAAATAGACCCAAGCAATAGAATCGCTGCGATCGGGGCCCAAAAAATCGGATTTCACACATCGCTACTCCTAAGACGTTGCTTTCTTTGCGAAAAAAAGGATGCTCAACGAGAGTCTAACTCGAATTCATAACTGAGAAAATCTATCATATGTCGTTTAATAGACATTTTTCGACAGTACTTTTGAGATCACCAAAGAAAATTGTACGAGTTGGTTTTCGCATGGATCGATTTATTTCTATTTAGAAAATTACATATTGATTCTGCTCCATTTCATACGTCGAAACGGGTTGAACTGTTAATTAATGAAGTTGAAACAAAATATACCGACGTACTCGAAGCAGGCGATCGATCACGTGCGATGAAACGTTTACGTGTACCACCACTAGAAGAAAAACAATCGCCGGCGGTCACATTTCGCGTGGGAGTTTTTGTTGGTACGCCTATATTTATTCTTCGTAAAGGAAATGCATCAATAATACTTGTTTTTTTTATAGGAATGATTTGTCTTTTAGTACCAACTGTTATAGTTCTTGGCACGAATCTTCACGATAGTCAATCAACAAAGCCACTTGCTTGGCGACAAGCATTATTTCTCTATCGTTCAACATTTCTCATTGTTCTTCATATTGTTCTAGTCGGTATTAACGTATATGGTTGGTCATCATCGGGTGTTAATCACGTGTTAATATTTGAAATTGATCCGAGAAATCATTTAACTTATCAGCAATTTTTAGAAATTGGTTTTTTCCTGTTCGTTCTATGGTTTTTAAGTTTCGCTGGTTTTATTCTTTCGTCTTATTTTGATTTTTATCCGTTCGTTCAACCCCTTGGTTTTGTTACTATGATTCTTTTACTATTATTTAATCCAACACAAACACTTTATCATCATGCTCGCTTTTGGTTTTTGAAAATTATGGGTCGCATTATTTGTGCGCCATTCTATCGTGTTGGTTTCGCTGACTTTTGGCTTGCGGATCAATTGACGTCGCTTGAATTATTATTCTTTGATATTGAATATTTTGTTTGTTTCTATATTTACGATGTTGGATGGTGGCCAGTGGATGCGTCATCAGCCGGTCGTGGTTTCCTGTGTCATAGTTGGCCGCAAGTTGCTGTTCAAACTATTCTCATGGCTGTACCGTCATGGTTTCGTTTCGCTCAATGTCTAAGACGATATCGCGATACAAAACAAAAATTTCCACATTTAGTTAACGCAGGAAAATATGCTAGTGGATTTTTTGTCATAGGTACAAATGCAGCACGTCGTGCAACCGCTATAAACTATATTAATAATCCAGCATCGAATCCATATCTATATGTTTGGATTGTGACGGCTTTTATCGGATCGACCTACAAATTAATATGGGATATTAAAATGGATTGGGGTTTTTTCGATAAAAATGCCGGAGAAAATAAATTTCTACGTGATCAAATTGTTTATCCATCGAAATTTTACTATTACGCTGGCATAGTAGAAGATTTCATATTTCGCTATATTTGGGTTATAAATGTATTTATGCAATTTCGTACAAGTTCAGCCGAATATACTGATGTAATTGGTTTTATATTTGGTTTAATCGAAATATTTCGACGTTTTATATGGAATTATTTTCGTTTAGAAAACGAGCATTTAAATAATTGTGGAGAGTTTCGTGCTGTACGTGATATATCAATAGCGCCAATATCAAATATTACGGATTATACAACACTAGAAGATATGATGGATAAAGAGAACGGCATTAAAAATCGACGACAATCAAAACGACATGATTTACTGGGAAAAGTAAATAATCGAGAAATAAAAAAGCAAACACATGATAATGAAAAATCCTTGACTCATTTATCAACAAATTCAAGTCCAGTAAACGAAGAATTCCACAATCGATTTGTTATGGTATCATCACAAATATCTATAGATGAAACCGGAGAACAACATGTCTTTTGATAATGATCTAATCTCAATGGATCGATTGTAGCCATTCCAATTATTATAATTAGTGTGCATTTGATAGTCTCTCGTCATAGATATCTGAACAGCATATATATGTATGTACTATATTGTATCTCAAATATTTTCTTTTTCTCATAAAAATGTCGTATACTTTTTTTCCTATTCATATATTAAAGATTTCTTTTTGATCTGCAATCCTTTAATAAAAATTATTTGTTTTAAGCTCTTTTTTCCTTTTCAAGATGCCTGATACGTTCGAATCAACCTATGTTTGTATAGGTCTTGCCGTACGTGTATTTTTATTCTTTCAAACAAGAATAAGAAATTATTTTGAAGAGAGTGGAGAGTTTGTTACACCTTTAAATTCATGGAAGCGAGGTAAACACTTGTTGTTTGGAACTAATCCAATGAAGCCGATTGCATATGTATGTTTTAGTTATCGAAGGAATTTATCTACGAAAACGCGACATTTCACCATTTGCTGGTTCAATTGTGCATGAAGTAGGTTTTGCCATGAATTATTTATCTTTCGATCTTATGATAATACATTCAAGTAGAATTTGCACCAAAGCTTAGATTTCCCTGGCGATGTCTTGTTTATCATAATATATGAGTAGTACAGATGTGTGGAAGCCCATTTTTTTGGCTCCAAATATTCTTGCGATTCTATTGGTCGTACGTGTTTAAAGAAAATTTTTGCAGAATTTGTTTCTTTCACATTTTAAATGTTCCTTCGGCGCTCGTAATTTTGAATTCGTTGCTATAGCTGTAACGCAGATCTACCTTGCTGTACTCCGGAATGTGGAAATCTCGCCTTGTTCCTCTTAATGGGATTAACTTTTCACGTCTCTAATCAGTAATAAAATTCCACTGGCAAGACTATTGAAAAGATGTTGTACATCAAATTTGAAAAATCATCACTTTTTCGAGCCGAAATGATCGCCCACTCCTGAGAAGCACTACTCCTATTCGTAAAATGATACATAAAGAAACTGTATCATATGTAGTGAATGCATCATACTCGTTTTAATCTAATAGATTTCGATGGATACTATTTAGACACCATTATCACTTTTCTTCTATTCAAAATTATATGCAATAACACACGGGCACGTCGAAGGTTTATTTATCGTATGTTATTGAAATCTAAATTTATTCCGAATGTGTATTATTCTGTTTGCTTTTGTTTGCCAATAGGCAGCTGATCTTCTAACTGGTATACTTACTTACAGGATAGCAAAGCGAGTTTTAAAGCAACTTGTAAGTCGGCAAAACGTTCTGTTTGAAATAGATTTTTGAAAACTTTATTGTCAATAGTTCAATGAAGAAGCTACAGAAAAATCAAAATATAATCAAGAAAGTCAACCGTTATGGTTGAAAAAATTAAATATTCAAAAAAGTGCTTACGCTGTTTTACTCTGGTAAGACTATCGTTGATATTGGTTTTAGTTTTTTTGAAAACTTATCGAATAGTTGTATGATAAATCCATTGTCTATTGGTACATGCCTTGCTAAATCAAGCCTCGTCTTTCACAATCTATTACTTACAATAACTTTTTATTTCTTCATGACCTGTAAGTGTGAAATGTTCCCTTGTTTTTTGATGAATATTCTAAAGAATTTTATTCTCCTCAGATCAATTGTTGCCATTTATAGTCACACTGTGTTTGGCTAGTTCAATTTCAGTCTATCCAGTTGTTTTAATTGCTCCTGCTTTACTTCAATTTTCAAAAAGTGGTGCTGTAAGTTCTTTCAAAAATTAAAGAAACAACAAGATTACGTTCTTTTTATGCTTTAGAATAATCGATCAATACTTCGTATATTTCTTGTGATAATTTTATTTGCTATTGTTAGTGCTGGTATACTTGCATTAAATTTTTTTCTCAACCACAAATCATGGTCATTTATTGAATCGACATATAGTTTTATGTGAGTATTTGGTGTTTATTTTAATTCTAATGAGAGATCCCGATAATGCTGTTTTTTAGTTTTCATGTACCAGATTATACACCAAATATCGGAATATTTTGGTATTTTTTTACTGAAATGTTTGATCATTTTCGTTCATTATTTGTTTGGACATTCCAAATGCATGTTCTTTTACTCTATTTACTTCCATTTACAATTCGATTAAGGTAATTTTTATTTCTGTTATTTGACTTAATCTACTTTTATTTCAATTTTAGACATGACCCAATATTTCTTTTTTGGCTATTATGTGCAATATTTTGCACATTTAAATCGTATCCAGCGTATGGTGATGCTGCATTCTATTTCAATTATTTGCCAATATGGAGTTTTCTATTTCGATGTGAGCTCGAGAGTAATAATGTCGATCGATCGATTTTATTTTATTTTTCTAGATGTAAGACATAGTCTTATTATTATTTGTATGGTATTTGTAGCCCTCATAATGGCGCCTATAACATGGTATCTTTGGATTTATACGGGCAGTGCTAATGCAAATTTTTATTTTGCAATGACAATGGTATTCAATGTTGCACAGGTGAGACAAAAGGGAAAAAAAATAATACAGTACGATTAAAGAGCCGATTGCGAATGCTCGATCTTCGTTTAATACCACGACAGAGAGAAAGACACCGTCGGGTATTGTTTCAAATTGCTTCTAGTGACTTTTCATTTAGTTTTAGTGCAAGAAATAGAATGTTTTTTTGTTTTTTTATTTAGACATTTCTCGTCTCTGATTTATTTTATGCTTATTTAAAACGAAAATTTTTACTCAAAAATGGTCTTACTATTCCGCAAGTGAATGGCTTTGAAGGTCAATTAGAATTTAATTAAATTCTTTAAAAATATGCTGATAGTACACATCAGATGCTATTATATATATACATATATGCTTGACTTTACATATAAAATTTGTTACTTCTTCGTAGATAAAAAAAAGAAATAGATCACTAACAACATTTTCTTCCATTTGTTTTTTCTTCAATGTAATAAAAATTCTTACAAATAAAAAACTTGTACGAATATAATTTAATGATAATGGAGTCCTTAGAATTTAATTAAATTCTTTGATCGAGCAATTGATGTTTTTCATATGAATCATATTATCAAATTATTTATCGAAAGAATCGACGCCGGTTGTTTGACCTTGCCTATGTTTTCGAATACATTTACGAGAGAAAAGTAATATTTATTCATCACGTTTTGCATTTTTTTATATTTATTTAGTAAAAAGCAAAAACGTTTTCTATTTAAATTATTCATAAAAAATATAAATTAAAATTCAGGCAAAAACTTTTCTCGGAACTAAAACTCACTCGAATCAACAAAAATATCATCTCACATGATACACAACAATGGATGCATGATCTAATTTTCCGGGTATTTTTATAATTTTATCTCGCATTTCAATTTCGAATCTATCCTTTGCAGCACCTTGCACGCCTTGATTTTCTCGTATACCTTGTTCAATAATTTGTCTTTGTTCATCAGTCAATCGTATAACATATTGCAATAAACGATTGCATATATCTAGTGCACTCAATTGTTCATCATTCACAGCTATAGATAAATACATACGATGAAGACTATATAAATGTCGTTCCTGAGCAGTCATTAGAGTAGATGGTATTTCCGATATGGTATGACTAGATTTTCGAATAAACGATGGAGTTTTAATACTAGCTGCCCAGCCGCTAACGCATGGATCATAATTATCACTAACACCATCGCTTGTTAAAAAAATAAAATCACCTTGTTCGATTTCCATTAGTGAATAGGTAAGATTAGATAGATCAGCTTTTTCAGTCATTGTCATACCTAAAGCGCCACCCGGTGAACGCATATCACGTTCATTATTTAGATTACGTGATCCTAGAAACGAAAACTGATATATTTTCAGATCATTGGAATTTCACGAAAAAAATTACCTTGTGTTAATTCAAATACAGATTTTCTTTTCGGACTGTAAACATAAGCATTTGAATCACCGACAATAGCTGAACATACAAACCATCGACGATTCGACTGGCAAACAATGCTAATAGTTAACGTTGTCAATGAACCTTCATTTTCGACGATGGTCTGTTGAGCTCTTTCAATTGCTAGGTTGATTCGTTCGAATATATCCTAAGAATGGTTTGTTATTTAAGAAAAAAACATTCAAAAAGAATCAATACTTTTGTAGTATTTAATTTTTTTTCAAAAAGTTTTTCATTGAGACAACTCATCGCACCATGTATTGCACATCGTGCAGCAAGCCGTGGCTTATATCCCCAATTGACGCCATCGGCAATTGATAAAATCGCATTATTTTCTTGTGCACATATGGCGAAACAATCAGCAATAGGTTCACCTGAGGTAAATATACTAATTGGAAGAACATTCATGAAATCATATGTTTACCATTTACTTCGCCTGTAAATGGATTATGATCATAGAGTGATGTAGAAAGGCCGCAAGCAAATTGTTGATCGGGCTTTTGCCAATTATTTTGTCCAGCAATTTTGATGGTATTATTTACTTTCAAAATTCCTTTTTCTGAACAAGAAGAAATGACAACCGATTGAAGATAATCAAAGACCTTACTTTGATGACGAGCTATATCAACTAAACCAACATCTGGACCCGATTCACAGGCAACTGTGCTGTTGCTTAATGGTGAAATTGATTCAATAGGTAATTTTGAATAATCTTCATTTGAGTAAAGACGATAAGGATGAAGTGGTCCTGACGATTGAAAACTATAAAAAATAAAGTTCTTTGAAAAAAAAAACTTTTGCAAACTCGAAAGACTTACAAAGAAACGAATTTTTGCCACGTAAATCGTTTTTCTTCATTCATCTAGAAATCACAAAAGAAAAAATATCACACGCAAATAACAGATAACAGAAGACAACAAAACAAAAGCAAGCTTTTATTTATTTTGTTTCAGTTAAAATTGCTGGTAATGTACATGTGATATGAATCGCCGAAACCCAACGTGTATCACTCATGGGTTCAAGATCATCTAATAGCGGCATCAGATGATCAGTAACTTCAATGCTTGCTATTTTTGTATTCAATTGACAATTTGTTTTTAGTTGAAATTGTAATGCTAAATTGATTGTTCTTTCTAGAGCAGAACCCATACCATGAATAGCGATTTCTCGATAATTTCCATTCGATGATATTAATTTCATACAACGTTCTAATTGCGCTTTAAAATTTGTTTTACGTGTTACATAAACATCATTTGACCGTTTAGAAAATTGTTTATTATTAAGACGCTTAAATATAGCATATTCTTCTGGATCACGATGAAATTTTTCTTCATTCATCTAAAATTATAATTAAAATGATAAAACTGAAATTTCTATAATGTTCATTTTATTTTAAATTTGGTAGCGAAGCACCCAGATAGACTTTTAAATCATTCAATGTTGTTCGTACAAGTTTAGCACGAATAGTTTCAGAATTTAAACGTTTATGAGCTCTAAATAGAAGACAAGGTTAATTCTTACATGAGAAGAAAAAGAAAAATTCTTACTCCCAACGATGACAACCACCCATAGAAAAAAAATAATTATTTCCTGATTGAGGTGCTTCATACCAAAGAACATCAATAGGAGGAACTAGATGAGTATCCATTGTCTAAATTACAAGCGAACTCCATGGAATCAAAACAATGAATAAATAGTTATCACTTGGATAGTTTCCATAAGTGATAGCACTTTTTTTTCATCAAGTACAGATGGTAATGGACGACTTATGTCTTTCATGGGAATACTATAGATTTCATCAATCGATGCTGAATGAATCGAAGTTGGTTCACTAGATGAATGTGTATTGTTGCTCTGAGACGAGCTCATTCTTATCATCGAGTAAATAGATGGAAATAATGTAGTAGAAAAAAGATTTAAATAGATGACTTTAGAGAACATTGTAATGGAATAATCGCTGTCAATTGATTTGATCAAATTATATATCCGAGAAGGTTATGAGTCATCGGGTATTACATGACGTCTTATACTCTAGTGACATCTAGGCAACATCTGTTATCAATCTATTCCGGATTTCCCTTATAACTAGATACATATGTTGAAAGACTATTAGCAAGTTTAGTTTGATTATACAATTGCAGATGGAACGAAGATTTCTCAGTAGAAAGAAATATTTCTGTAATTAGGAAAAGATTTTGACTCGATACAAAAGTGTTTGTGACAATCATTAATTAATGAGATATTGATAGATTTCGATTAACGATTCTTGAACCGCTATTAGATTTTTTAGCTGAATTCTTGAATTCATTTAGCCGACAGAAAATATGAGAGAAGTCTACAGATTGTGTATGTCACAGAATCAATATTGCCAAAATGACAGTACGTTTCTAGATCTTTTTCAGTTGATTAATAACCATTGAGACATATATGTCCGTCACGTGTCTCCTCAAAACAAAATATAACTAATTACTACTAAGATGAGAGAAAATTGAAGCTGCTGATAGTTGAATCTTTATTGTAAACGAAAATAAAACAGAATCAAATAAATGAAAGCCCAACAAAAAGAATTCCTATACAAGTTTCAATATATTAAAACAAGAATTCGTTATAGGAAAATAAATAAACAAAATCAAATACAGAGTTTTATTTTGGTAAACATATCTATCCTATTTGGTTTTTTTCATACGACGTAATTGAACATAAGTTAAAGTAAGAAAACCAACTGTGATTACACTTAAAGCAACACAATTTTTCCATAAGTCCCAATCGGTTCCATGGTCAACATTGAGGCCGGATAAGACATCTGCGCCAGTTTCTGTACAGACAGTCGAATTAGTTGAATAGCAAAAAGTTAAACCCATGAATTCATTGATGGAAAGTGCATTGATTCCATAGCGAAATATACTGAAATATTGAATCCATCGAACAAAAACAACAACAGACGAAATTTCGACCAGGAATCCACTAAATATAAGTGTCACTACATAAAACAGGCCGGCAACCAAATTGGCAACACCTAAATTACAATAAAATAGAGAATTAAGTTGTAAATGGAATCCTTTCGAAGAATATTACCAAAATTTCGTACACTAGCCGAAACAAGAAAACATACAGTTGATGCACAAATCGATGCGAGCCAAATAAAGAAGAAAAAAATGAAAAACTTTTCTTCTGTTTGTTGGAACCCCATCATGAAATAAGAAACAATTGAAAATGCAATAGCAGGAATCGTTCGTAATGGTATAATATCACAAAGGACTTTTGCTAAAAAATAAGTTAATACGTGATAATATCCACTCACATTTTCATGGGCAAATAAGGGTCGTTCTTTAATGAAAGCCTCAAGTGCTGAGAGATTTGAAAACACTTGATTTGCAATGATAAAAAATATAGCGCCGGTTCGATTCTTAACACCCGTAGTTGTTGTATTATCAATATTCAAATAAATTAAACCAATGAGCAAACCTAAAATTATTGCTATCACTACTTGCAGTATGAATAATGTGGGGTCTCGAAAAGAATTTCGAAGTGTTCGTTGACATACATAATACATGTCATTTGAACGAGATTTTTTCATTAACCGAACATCATTCATATTACTATCTCCATTTAATAAATCACCTTTTTCAGGAATGTCCGCTTGAATTGATTTATACATATCTGTTTTCATATATTCCTCGTTGAAAAATACTTCAATTCGTTTCCTTTCTTTACTGGATTCAATATCGTCTTGCTGTTGAGTTGAGGGTGGTGGATGATCGCCTTGTGTTATATCAAGAAGAAAATCTGCTGGATTATTATGTTCTTCACATGAGAAACCCACTGACGAAAAAAAATTTAAAACACTATCTGTAGGACCATGGTAAGTACAACGTCCAGCAGAAAGTAAAAATAGAGTATCGAATAATTTAAAGATTGAATATCGAGGTTGATGAATTGAGAACACAATGGTACCTTTATTGATATATTTAAATGAAATGAATTCTATTTGAATTGAAAAATATCTTACACCCTGTACGAGATAGCTGATGAAGACATTCCATCACATTATGAGCCATCGATGAGTCAAGACCTGTTAAACAGAAATAATTGAATTTCGAAGTATTTTCGAAAATAATATTTACCAGTGGTGGGCTCGTCTAAGAAAAGAATCGAAGGTGATAGAACAAGTTCCATTCCAATATTTGTTCGTTTTCTTTCTCCACCTGATACACCCCGTTTTAAATCATTTCCTACGATAGTGCCTGCACATTTTCCTAATCCCAGCTGTAGAATAACATGCTCTACGATTTTAGTTTTTTCATCAGCGGTGTATTTTGTCGACAATCGCACATTAGCCGAAAACATGAGATTTTCTTTGACAGTTAAATTTCCACAGATGATATCATCTTGAACAACATAGCCAACATGATATTTATAATTTTGAGTTCGTGGTTGGCCATTGAGTAGAATTTCACCTTCGAAACCTTCCCGATCCTTTCGATCAGCTAATAAATCAAGTAGAGATGATTTTCCACAACCAGTTGGTCCCATGATTGCATTCATACCTGTGCGGAAAATACCTGATACATTCGTTAGAATTTGTTTTTGAGCTTTTTGTAAACATGGCACTAGACATAGGTTACAGAATTTTTGTACATGTATAAAATAGTTAATTGATTTAAATGTAAGCGTTGGATTTTGATTCGTATGAACTTCTTCATCTATTTCCAAAGTGACTGCTGTTGGTGTTACTGGGTTATTATTCATCATTTGTTTTTGTTCTCAAATTATGAGAAATTGCATAGATTACCAAATGGAAGCCAATAATTTGGAATCGTTTCGAATGCTTTATTTCAGCAGCTTTTATAAGCAGTAAATGGTTATATGACTCGATTGGCAACCGTGTGTCGTTCACGTTCGAGTTTATTCCGAACGTTCGATTGCACAACAGCCTTTTTTTCTTTCTTACTAAACTAAGGCTTCTTCAAAGTGTGTTGTCACGATCAGACGAAAAGCAATGTATACGCTTGCTTTTTTCATTTTATATTGAGATGTGTTATTCACACGCATAATCATTGCTGCCAGAACAAAAATTGTGACTTGGGTTATGACGCACACGTGAAATGGTCTCGTAATAACCATTCATTTTTTACTCTAAAACTATAATCTCACTACCAAAATATCGACGGAATTTGAAGTCTTTTTTAGGCTCTGTGGAGATATCTTCATCTATGGGACTTTTTCATAGAATTGTTTCAACGGTTAATGCTTGAAGGTGGCTAACATTATAGTTTTAAATGATTTTAGGATTCAATTCCTTTTTTCGATTCCGGAGAAAAACGTTTCTCTTTATCGATAATGAAAAAAATGCTTCGGTAACATATGAACTTAGACACTAAACCTGTAGTTTATCTTATTCCAATAATCTTTTCACTCATAACCAATGTGTTTAAGTTTAAAGTCTTGAATATTACGATGGCTAATTCTCATCTCATAAATAATTCAGTATTTTTTCACGCGCGTTTTCAAAGTTTGCAATAATAAAAATATGTACTCATGACCTGCAATGGCAATGCAAAATTTTAATGTTTGTACAACAATTTGGTTGCGAATAGAACAGTCATCAAATATTTGTGCCTATGTTGCTGATATTTGCTGAAATGTAGATAAAAATAAATTACTTCCAAAAGACTTCGGTACTTGCAGAGAAACATCTACTGAAGGAATGCTACCCTGCTTCGTTCTCGATCGAACAATTCCCCATTTCATGAAATCAAATTCAAGGTACTGAACGGATGTGATGATAATCTCTCTTTTTATTTTCACTTGAGAAACTGTAACGCATATAGTTAATGTAATCTGATTAGGTTTGAACTATTCACTTGAATGATTATAAAGGTAGCCCAATGGTAGCTACGGTGGAATGATATTTATTAGTGGTTTTGCTTTTTGAATTAAGAAAAAAAAGACAAGCGATTTCAACATTTGATTTCCTGTGTTTTGTCTACCAGATAGCGTAGTTCATCTTGATTTAATCGCTTTGTACTTTCAAGTTTGCTCTTCACTTCTCTATGATACCAATTGAGCCAATCTTTTTGGGCTTCTGTTAACATTTTGCATATAATTAAATCGCGTTCAAAAGGAACCATTGTTAAAATATCAAAATGAAGAAATTGTGTTGCCGAATTAACATAATTATTTGGTAATGTATAATTTTTCACAATGATATCCGTTTCAAGTCGAATACCAAAATTTCCTGGTAGATAGAAACCAGGTTCATCAGAAAACACCATACCATCTGTCAATGGTATATCACTTGAACTATATCCCATAGAAATAAATGAAGGACCTTCATGAACAGACAAGAAATGGCCAATACCGTGGCCAGTACCATGATTATAATCCATAGAATTTCTATAAAGATATTGCCGAGTTAATATGTCAAGACTTCGACCATAGGTTCCATATGGAAAAACAGCATCAGCTAAATCGATCGAACCTTTGTAAAAAGAAAAAGAAAACGTGTCTTGTTTAAAAGAATTTTCAATAATTTATTTTTACCTTGAAGAACAAGCGTATATGCGTTCTTTTGCTCTTCGGTTGCCGTGCCAAAGACATGTGTACGCGTAACATCGGTGGTACAATCAAGATATTGTGCGCCAGCATCAAGTAAATATAACCCATTCTTAGTAATCGTTGCAGCAGTTTGTGCTGTTGGACTGTAATGAATAATTGCAGCGTTTGCACCAAATGCCGATATAGAATCGAAACTAAGCATTTGAAATAAAGCTTCTTCACTTTGAAAATGTTCAAGTTGCTCAGCTGATTTTGTTTCATTAACAATAATATTATTATTCAATTGATTTTCAAGCCAAGCTAAATGACGTACACGTGCTACACCATCGCGAATGCCACAGTCACGCATGCCTTTTTCTTCGGTTGGATTTTTCAATGCTTTTATTAATTCAACTGGTGAACCTAGATAAATGTTCGTAGCTAATATTTTTCTATTTGGTGTCATCAGTAAAACTTACTTGCAATTAAAATCTTTTCTTTTGGAATTCGATTAAAAATAGCTTGCGACGCCGATGATGATATCCAGATTTGTGAAATATCGCTTTGATTCGCTAACTGATGAAGATCCGAAAGAAAAGAACCATACGGATGAATATTAACTTTGCTCAATTGAATAGAAGCAGCTGATGTCAATTGATCTGAATTCAACCAAAGTTGTGTTGTTTGATCGGCATTAACAATTGCGTAAGCCTATAGATTTATTTAGTGAATAATAACTGATAAATAAATAATTATGTTACTTTGAAAAATGGATTATATGGAATATCAGAGCCACGTAAACTAAATAGCCAAGCAACCTCATCAAGAGCCGTAACAACATAAGCATCTGCGTGCTTGACTTTCAATCGTTCAGCAATGTCTTTCACTTTATCTTCCCATGGAATACCTGCGTATTGTAGTGCATGAACGTTGATCGGATTGGCTACAGCTAAAGGTCTCTCGGGTGATAACCAAATTAAATCAACCAATTCGTGGACTTCTACTAATGAAGCGTTCTTTCCGTTGAGAATATTATCAACTGCCTGCCACCAATCAGATGAAGCAAATTGAGCAGCTACCCCAACACGATTATAAGGTGGTGTACTATTGACTTGACTTGACAGCCAATTGGAAAGTGACGGTACACCTTCTCGACCTTGACGCATAAGATACCAATTTCTGCAATCGAGCTCGTCTTCTGCTTCTGTCCAATACCGGCCGTCTGTCCACAGAGCAGCACTATCAAGTGTCACAACTGCAGTACCCGCTGATCCCAAAAAGCCAGTTATCCACGCTCGTCGTTTATCGTACAACTGAACATATTCACTTTGATGTTCATCTTCGGAAAAGATGACGTAAGCAGATAGGCCATTACTTTTCAGATGAGCACGTAAACGTTGTAGTCTATCTGTTGTACTGACTTGAGTTGGTTTTACTGCACAGCTAAAATCTGTTCCTTGACATACTACAAATCGAACATTATTGACGAAAAGAATAAAACCTATTACAATAGAGCTTATCAACATTTTTTTTGTCTTGCGTGCCCTTCACAATCTATCGAGAAATGAATAATGATAGCATTATGACTTTTCGTTTTACTGCTTTTTTCCTCTTTGTCGTTATTATACTGATCAGCGACGAACGAAAAGAAAAAAAGACCTAAGCGAATGATAAAGCAAAAAATGAAAGATTTTTATCAGATAATACATAAAGTTTTATGGATTAACGAAATTTGTCATTGTTTTTTTTTGCTTTTCTTCCTTTGAGAAATCAGCGCTCTTTTATTTGATAACTGGTGTTCGATATTTGAATTTTCTTTTTTTCATTATGCGACCTAAAAAATTGAATAATTCCATTGATGAAACTGATCGAGAACTAATACAAGCATTAGAACTTGACGGTAAAAATATTGAAAATTTGATTAAAGAAAATGTTGAAAAACTTGATCGAATGCTTGATGATGATGATTTATTTAATCAAACAAATTTGAAAGCAATTCAATCTCTTGCACGTGAAAGTGTAGTGAATGTGCCAACTTTAATTGGTAATAAACTCAATGATGATAAGTCTTCGCTAGAATCTCATTTAGTCATTAAGTCTAATGAACGATTAGAAATACTTGTTGAACGTGTTAGACATGAAGTATTTTTTTTTATTGAAAACGCTGAAAAAATTCGTGTTTTAATTGATCTTAATGTTATGCACAATAATGAAATCGATTATGAAACACAATGTTTATGGAAAAGTCAACTTATTCAAATGCAAGGACAAATATCCTCGAATCATATGGATATTTTAAATTATTATCAAAATCGAAGTGACATTGGCATCAGTATACTAAACCAACCACGTGCCAGTGATTGCTGGGAACAATTAATTGAGATTGATGAAGACTTTTTCTTTAAATTGAGAATAATTCTTCATAATTTAAGATTATTCAACGTTCGATTGTATGATATTGTCTATCGTTGGATTTATTTTCCTAATAAATTGATGTAAATCTACTATTTTATTGTACAGTTTTCAATGGACTGAGATCGATTTTCTCTTGAGACATTGCTTCGATTTGATTGTGGATTTCTCTAGTTCCGAATGTATTGGTGATGTTTATTGAGAAAATTAACTGCATCATCGCTTTTGTATTTATCACACAACATCGATCTATATAGAAGAGAGAGAATTAAGCAAGAGATTTAATGTCACTATAGTTTGAATTCCTTTCTTTCTAGACATATTTGTTTCAGTCAACATACTATGTGCATGTATCAGGTGCTAATAGTTCCCGACTGTAAATTCGCAAATCATCGATACCACCAATGAATGAAACATTAGTGTTGACCGACACTATGGTAAGAGATAGTAGTTGACAACTTGTATTGAAATATTGATACTCACAGTTCGCTTTCAAGGATATCATTGTTGAATGTATGTTTTGTGAGGATTGACTGCATGACACCACCATCGATTAAGAATAACACAAACAGCATTATTTGTTGTCATACCAAAATGGATGGAAAGTTTTTTTTAATCATTCCACTATAAAAATAAAAGTTAAGAAAAGCTCATCATTTAATAAAACAGTATTTGAAAAATTGAGCTTCTCTAGAGATATGCTACTTTGCAATTTTTATCGCAACCGCGATGTATTTTTCTCCGTTGAAAGTTGATTTATAAATTCAGTTTCCCATTTTTGTGTACTCAAAAAAAGTGAATACACTCTAGATTCTGTCAGTGTTCCGGCCGTTAACACGATAACCTTTGAAAGTCTCATCGAATTGTCATGAAAGTTTATACACAGAATGATCTCATCAATATCTCAGTCGAGTTCGAAGATGAGAAGGATCCGTCAAGAAATGACTGAGTTATCGAAAAAATTGTCATTATTGACCAGACCATCCCTGAGGGGGGTACAGAGATTTTTCGAAACAACATTTTTTTTTCTTAGAATTATTCAGCGAATCCGATGTTTCCTCATTTTTGACTATTAGATTTATGTATATGCATTTACAAAAGCAAATTTGTTCAAATTTTATTCTATCAAAATTCTGTTTTCACGACAGATCACATGTTCTCAGTTTTTGTTTTTATCAATTCTTCTGTCGAATCTGTTAATCTGTAGATATTTTTCTCTCTTTCATTCAGGACGCATGATCGGCCATTTCCACTTCGATTTTAAAGTGAATTTATTTGTTTTAATTTATTGACAATGTAACATGTAGTCGCAGGGAAATATTTATTTCGTGATGCATAACATGAACACAGGATATGGCTTGTTTCTAACTGCAAAATTGAGGTACGATGTTTTTTTTCTAAATGAAAAGTTTATTTAATGATTAAATATAATATATAAGCCTTTCTGAACAAAACGAACTGATACTTCTATACAAGAAAAAGGAAATAGTGTGTAAATAATCAATCTAAAAAAGAAGCAGAGATCGAGAAGAGACGTACGGCTTATTTTTCAAATGAGTATCATCAACTACTCTTCCCATCAAGACAATGCATATAAAGCACATTGAATTTAAACTAGAGCTCTTCACTCAGTATTGCCGGTTTTCATGAATGTGCACATCTTTTTTTGGAGAACTATCCCAGTCGCATATATGCACGCCTATCAGTTGATCAATATCGTACAATATCAATGTACAGCATAAATCGCTATTTAAAACAATAAATACCATTATAACGTGCAATTCATAATCATCGACACAATAAACAATGTTTCTGATAGGAGTATCATCCAGAACTATATTCTTTCTACTTCTGCAAGCCTCTAATACGAATATATCGTCTACTCTACCTATTCAAGCGCAGTAAAAGAACTTCATAAAAAAATTCTAATTTTGTTTTTCTCGATATTTAAGTATTGTTTCAAAAATAAAAGACTATAAACAAACGAAAATAGAACCGGGAAAATGTGCATGCATTAAATATTAACGTAAAGACGACATGATTGCCAATAGCTGGAAAATTAGTGAAGACGACAGCTTTATTTATTTGCTTATTCTATTTGTTTTCTTTTCAGACGACGCAATTGAATGTAAGTTACAGTAGTGCCAAACTTGAAACTTGAAATTTTCAAGTTTGACATATATCGTAAGTTCAAGTAAGAAAACCAGCTGTGATTGCACTTAAAGCAACACCACTTTTCCATAAGCCCAGCTTCTTCCATGATCAACAATGAGTTCAGATAAGACATCTGCACTAGTTTTTGTGCGTATGCTCGTATTATTTGATACACAAAGAGTTAAACTTATGGATTCATTAACTAAAAGTGCACTTGACCCGTATCGAACTAAGCTAAAATATTGAATCCATCGAAGAAAAACAACAGCAGATGACATTTCAACGAGGAATCCACCGAAAACCAGTGTCAATGCACAGAACAGGGTGGCAGCCAGATTTGCAAAACCTAAATCACAATAAAATAAACTATGATTGAAAATGTCATAGCAGGAATGGCTCGCAACAGTATAATATCACAAACGATTTTTGCTAAAAGAATAAGTCAATACATGATAATATCCACTCATATTTTCATGAACTTTCTTCATTAAATGCAATATCGTCTTGCTGTTGAGCTGAGAGTTGTGGACGATCGCCTTGTGTTATATCAAGAAGAAAATCTGCTGGATTATTATGTTCTACACATGAGAAACCCACTGAAGAAAAAAAATTTAAAACACTATCTGTAGGACCATGGTAAGTACAACGTCCAGCAGAAAGTAAAAATAGAGTATCGAATAATTTAAAGATTGAATATCGAGGTTGATGAATTGAGAACACAATGGTACCTTTATTGATATGTTTAAATGAAATGAATTCTATTTGAATTGAAAAATATCTTACACCCTGTACGAGATAGCTGATGAAGACATTCCATTACACTACGAGCCATCGATGAGTCACGACCTGTTAAACAGAAATAATTGAATTTCGAAGTATTGTCGAAAATAATATTTACCAGTGGTGGGCTCGTCTAAGAAAAGAATCCGAGGTGATAGAACAAGTTCCATTCCAATATTTGTTCGTTTTCTTTCTCCACCTGATACACCACGTTTTAAATCATTTCCTACGATAGTGTCTGCACATTTTCCTAATCCCAGCTGTAGAATAACATGCTCTACGATTTTAGTTTTTTCATCAGCGGTGTATTTTGTCGACAATCGCACATTAGCCGAAAACATGAGATTTTCTTTAACAGTTAAATTTCTACAGATGATATCATCTTGAACAACATAGCCAACATGATATTTATAATTTTGAGTTCGTGGTTGGCCATTGAGTAGAATTTCACCTTCGAAACCTTCCCGATCCTTTCGATCAGCTAATAAATCAAGTAGAGATGCTTTTCCACAACCAGTTGGTCCCATGATTGCATTCATACCTGTGCGGAAAATACCTGATACATTCGTTAGAATTTGTTTTTGAGCTTTTTGTAAGCATGGCAATGAACATAGTTTGCAAAATTTGCCGTATTCAAATAATAATTGATGGCGTTGCATGTGAGAATGGAGCGTTCAGTTTTATTGATACCGTCTTTTGTCTAATACAATTGTTATTGGGGTTACACGATTATTATTACTCATTGGTTCGGCGTGTAAATGAATATTTAAATCAAATGGTAGAAAAAATTGAAATCAATAAAATGTTTTATATGTCGAGTTACACGTAGATTATATAAACAAAAATGATTATATGACCTGTTTATGGAAATGTGGCGTTTTGTTCAGCTGTTTTTGGGAACACTCGATTGCACGATCTTGTTTTTCTGTTCTTTTAGAGAAATTGTGAAAGCGAAAAAATTCTTTGCCATAGTTGGAAAAAGTCTTACGTGGGCTTTTCCATTCTCTCTATATAATGTTTTTCTTATTACTTGCATAATCATAGCGTTTAAGAAGTGCATCGTAACTTTATCACATACCTTAAGAAAGTGATTTTCTAAAAAATGTTAGTTTTCCTGTTGTGTTTTATATATGACCTTATTGGTCCTTGAATATGTAGGAAAGTTTTGATGTTCGTGAAACATGGTTCTTTACATTAAACAAATTAATCAATATATGATGGAACGGAAAAGAAGATGCTTTAGTTTATCCTAGCCGATGATTTACATATATCTTGGATATTTTGTGTCACAACATATTGTATATACATTCTGACAGATTATAATTTAATGAAATATAAGAGTTGGCCAATGGTTTCTGAATCAGAATAAATTCAAAAACATTAGGACTTGTCGAGAAATAAGAAAACTATTGGAGAAAAAGTTCACACATTAGGTTTTGTTATTGTCGTATTAGTAGATCTACTAAACTTAATTCCTATGTTACATTTTCCAGAGTTCCGTTCTGAACTAACAGTTGAATATTGATCGAGGATATTTTCTATCTATCGAATCTGAACAGACAGGATTAAGTGTAGGCCTGTAGGGAGTTCCACGAATGACTCTAAGTTAAATTTATCTATGCTTTTCAGTTCATCAATAATGCAGATCCATATTTTATACATAAATATTCAATCGAAAAAGAAAACAACTAACTGAAATATAAAAGAGAAATATTCAACATTTATTTATAAAAATATAAAAGCAGAAGCCACGAGTAATCAATAAAATACATAAATAAAAACTGCAAATTTTATTTTCATTTGCATGTTTATTCTATTTGGTTTTTTTCATACGACGTAATTGAACGTAGGCCAAAACAAGAAAGCCGATTATGATTGCAATCAATGCAATAGCATTTTTCCATAAATCCCAGCCTGTTCCATGTGTAACACCAAGATCGGTTAAGACATCGGAACCACTTTTCGTACATAAATTTGTATTATTTGAGTAGCAAAGAGTCAAACCGGTAAATTCATTGATTAAAAGTGCATTGGTTCCATAAGCAAATATACTAATATATTGAATCCATTGAAGAAAAACAACAACAGATGAAACTTCAACTAGAAGTCCACTGAACAGGAGTGTTAATCCACAGAAAAGAGCTGCAATTAAATCAGCAACGCCTAAATTGAATAGTGTCAAATGAAAGTGTGAATGAAACTTTCTTGAAGAAAATTACCGAAGTTTCTCACTGAAGCCGAAACAAGAAAACATAAAGCCGATGAACAAATCGTTGTAAGCCAGATGAAAAAGAAGAAAATAAAAAATTTCTGTGCCGTTCTTTGTAATCCCATCATGAAATAAACAACGATTGAAAATGTGAACGAAGGAATAGTACGTAATGGTATAATATCGCATATTATTTTCGCTAAAAAGTAAGTTATTACATGATAATAACCGCTAGCATTTTCATGAGCAAATAAAACTCGCTCTTTTATGAACAATTCTAGCGCCGAAAGATTCAGAAAAACTTGATTTGCAATTATAAAAAAGACACCTCCAACACGGTTTTTAACACCTACATCTGTTGTATCCGCAAGATTCAAATAAATTAAACCAACGAGTACGCCTAGAACGATTGATATTACCACTTGAAGTATAGACAGTGAAGGATTTCGATAAGAATTACGCAGTGTTCGTTGGCTAACATAATACATATCGTGTAGACGAGATTTTTTCGTTACTCGTAAACCGTTTATCTCGCTTTCATCTGATAAACTGATCTTTTCTGGAAGTTGCGCTTGAATCGATTTATAAGTACTTGTTTTCAAATATTCTTGGTTTAAATGAAGTGCAATTGGACTTTCGAGTGTGTCTACATCCATATCATCTGGCTGACGTGTTGCTAGTGGTAGTCGATCGCCTTGCGCTACATCAATGATAAAATCTGCTGGATTGTTATGTTGTTCACATGGAAAACCCACTGACGAAAAAAAATTTAAAACACCATCTGTAGGACCATGATAAGCACAGCGACCGCCAGCAAGTAGATAAAGAGCATCGAATAATTTAAAGATTGAATATCGAGGTTGATGAATTGAGAACACAATGGTACCTTTATTGATATTATTCTATAAAATCGAATCTATTCGAATTGAACAATCACTTACGTCCTGTACGAGACAACTTTTGAAGACATTCCATTACACTACGAGCCATCGATGAGTCAAGACCTATTAAATAAAAATAACTGAATTACCGAAGTAATGTCGAGCAGAATATTTACCAGTGGTGGGCTCGTCTAAGAAAAGAATCCGAGGTGATAGAACAAGTTCCATTCCAATATTTGTTCGTTTTCTTTCTCCACCTGATACACCCCGTTTTAAATCATTTCCTACGATAGTGTCTGCACATTTCCCTAATCCCAGCTGTAGAATAACATCCTCTACGATTTTAGTTTTTTCATCAGCGGTGTATTTTGTCGACAATCGCACATTAGCCGAAAACATGATATTTTCTCTCACAGTCAAAAATCCACTTACAATATCATCTTGAACAACATAACCGACATGATATTTGTAATTTTGTGTTCGTAATTCACCATTGACGAGAATTTCGCCTTCGAGACCTTCCCGATCCTTTCGATCAGCTAATAAATCTAAAAGGGATGATTTTCCACAACCAGTTGGTCCCATAATTGCTGTCATGCCCGGTCGACACACTCCAGATACATCATGAAGAATTGTTTTTCGAGTCTTTTGTAAGCATGGCAATTGACATAGGTCGCAATATTTCTGTGTATTCAAATAATAGTTAATTGACTTGAATGTAAGAATCGGACCGTCGATGCTAGTTGCTTCTCTATTTAAGTTCACGTCAATTGTTGACGGTGATATCGAGTTCTTCTTTATCACTGGTCCCGTTCCTAAAGTAGGTATTAAAATACTGTCTAAGCCATGTGATGAAACTTGAAACTTGAAACAAGGCAAACGATTGTCAACTTGTTTTCAAAGTAAACTCTATTAAAATGTTGGGTGACAAGTGGATTTTAGCAACGCACGTAATTATATAATTCAATTGCGAGACTGTTGTGCTTTTGTTCTCTGTTTTTTTTATACGTTTGAGCACAGACGCCCCTCCTGCTTTTCTTTCAATACTTTTAACAGTGGAAAGAAAATGTGTTTTCACCATGACAGCCGTATACATACTTGAACGTTGTCTTTCTTTCAATTTTGTGCTACTCGCAACTATACACTCACAACCGAGAAAAAACATCGTAACCTATTTGTTGGCTGCAGAAATTAATTGATTTAGCAAAAAACATTGTTCCTTGTTTCTTTTTCTCTTTTAATGTACTATTTAAAAGTAATAGGAAAATATGATGTAAGATCTTCATATTTTTTTTCATAGGAATAGTTCTGAGAAAAGAATTTTTAGGATTAGCTATAAGATGTGTCCTCGTTAAAATTGTAAATGACTCATTTCAATTAGAATCTGCCATAGAATGACGCAGTAAACCATAGGAACACATTAGAAAAAAGTTACCCACTTATCGAATATGTCACCATAAGAGCGCAAAATGTGGACTAGTACACTTTTCATTTTGGAAGCCATTTTAAGAATATGAAAAAATTTGTTAAGTTCATACAACACTTTCTACTCCTTCGGACAGTTTACTATTCTCAGCGAGTGAGATAGATTTCATGGCTACGTTCTACAGTTCAATTATATCTCCGATGTATGAATAACACCGAGATTTATAATCGATAGATGATTTCAAAACAATCTCTATGTGATTTGATTATATATGTTTTTCATATTGATCGTACTTCGGAGAAATAAAGAAGAGCTTTTTTATACAAAAAGAAATCGAATCTATATAAGTGTGTCTGCAAACAAAAAGAAATCAACGAAATTATATGCAATGATAGACAGTCACCAAAAATGACGATAGACTCATAGATGAAATTTAAAAAAAGAAATTTATTGTACTGCATCTCATACTCAGTAACAAGTATTGTTCCTGAAAAAAATTATCTGTTTTAGGAGTATACTTACGATGAATTCGACTGGATGAGACAACTTTTCGCGCTGAATCTTGTGACATGTTTAATGCTTCTAATGTTGTGTATTAAGTGATCGAAAATTAAAATGCGAAGTGCGACTATTTAATCAATCTCACTCTATAGTTAGCATGCAACAGTTAAAATGAAATACAACGAAAAAGAAAAAGAAACGCTCTTACAATAAGTTTGTTATGTTTATATGAATTCGTCAAAAGCATGTTGTTAGACAACAGTTAGTTTTGTTTTTGTGAACTCAATGAAAAAACTTTCTAAAGAAATGAATATTTTGTACTTTTAGAAATTTATTAAAAATACTTTTTTCGACGGCAGCTATCTTTCAACGAGAAGCAACTTTCCTGTAGGCTGACAAAACATTTATTTCTCAAGAGTTATTTATAAAAAAAAAAGAAACAAGATATAATGATACACGTTTTTGTGTACTCAAAAAAAGCGAGTATACTCTAGATTCGGTGTGTGTCCGGCCGGCCGTTAACACGATAACCTTTGAAAGCTTCATCCAATAGTCATGAAATTTTGTACACATAATGATCTCATTAATATTTCAGTCGAGTTCGAAGATGAGAAGGATCCGTCAAAAAATGGCTGTTATCGAAAAAATTGTCATTATTGACCAGACCATCCCTGAGGGGGTGTACAGGAGAGTTTTTCAAAAAAAAAGTTTTTTCTTAGAACTATTCACAACATATATAAATCGACTCAGTTTTTGCAGTACACATAACAATCGGATGCGAATCCGATGTTTCCGCATTTATTATTAAATACTATCATCGGAAAATCTTGGTTTGTATTAAGGATCTGAAAGTACAGTTCAGAAGATAGTACATTTTCTCTATCTCAATTATCAATCAAAAAATTTGCTTGAATCTTTCAACATTAGGGGTGTCAATTTACAGTTTATTTAATTTAAATTTAACTTCATGAAAAGTTAATTTAATTTTAAATTAAATTCTATCAAGTTAAATTTAAAATAAATTTAAATTTTTCTGATACAAAAATTTAAATTTAAATTAAATTTTCAGAATTTAAATTTAATTTAAATTAAATTTTTGAAAATTTATTTCTTGATTTAATAAATTTTTTTAAATTTATATTTTAAATTTAATAAACTGTTTGGATGGATACACATGATTGCTACGAGAGAAATACGCGACTTTAACAGTAGTAAATACTAAATGAGAGGAAAACCTAGTATTTTAGGTTAATATTTATTCATAATAGTCAAAATTTCTCTACAGGTTAAGCAGGATCCGTCATCTTTCTTCTTCAGAATACTGGGATACTCATAAAAATATATTTGATAGCACAATTCATAGAAGAATGACTAGTTTTAACTTTAGAAAACAGGAAACATACTCAAATTTGACTTTAAATAGTAGCAATCAAGTCAAAAACTATTTTTATCTGCTAGTTTTCAAAATTTAACTAATTT